TGCGACGTTAAAGTTTCATGTGTCCTCATCAGCCTTGTGTAAGTTCCGCCGTGATTGGCTCCAAACAAAATGTGATGTCACAAAATAATGTCTTACGTGCCTTGAACTCAGATTTAAGCTGTGCACAGAAAAACTTTCCCTCTTCAACAAATTAATGTGAAAACAGCCTTCTATCAAACTCTGCACATACATAGTATTACACATGAAGCTCCAAATTAGGTAACAATTAGTAAAACACCTTTTTGAGTGTAACCTGACTTTAAATGTAGCAAGGTGCAAGTTGTCTGATGTCATTAATTAGAAGTCAAATACATTGATTGGCTACATTAATCATGCTCCTTTGACTGTATGTATATGTGTGGTTGTATACAATTCAACAGACCTCCTCTGTGAGCTTCCGTATCTCTTCATCTCTTACTTGCAAGACTGTGGAGTGAGCTAGAAGAGCCTCTTTAGCCTGGTCAGTGGAGGAAATATACACAACAAAACAGATAGGAAGGTCAGTAAAGTCCAAACACTCGAAGCAAATTTGCTATTTTGGAGTAGCAGCCTCAAATTGTCTAAAGCAGGATGTCAGTACAGGGCAGAATTAGTACACACAAGCAAAAGTTAGACTGTGGCGCTATTGTACTGTTACTCAGTGTGTGTGTGTGTGTGTGTGTACCTGTGATTGCTGAATTTCACTAAGCAGAGACAAAGGTTGTGTGTGTGTGCTGTCCAGAAAGCTCTCTTCTCCCTGGTTCAGAGCTTTCTGCTGTAGAGAGTGATTCAAGGTTCGCAACTCAAACACCACTCCCTGCTCCTGCTCTATCTACATATACACACAAACACACACACTGTGAGAAACAGGCACAACCACACACACACACACAACACACACAGCAAGAGCTTCAAACTAGTCGTGTTAGCGAGTTCTGTTAGTGATGAGTGGTATTTCCTACAGCACATGATTCTCCTTCAGGATTCATCTTTCAATGCTACAGTTCGTCACTGATCCTCACCTCTGCTTCTTTCTCTCTGAGTTTCATCTGGAGTTCTGACTGTCTGTCTCTCAGTCTCTCTCTCTCCGTGCGGAATCTATCGCTGTCCTCTTCAGAAGCTTTTAGTTGTGCCTCCATGTGTGATAGCCGCTCCAGCAAAACTCTGTTCTGTATGAGAAGAAGATGGATAAATACTAAGTGTTGAACCAAAGTGTTAAGTGAAATTATTTCAATGCTTAGAGTCCAAAATAAACACTGGTTGGATTATGCTTTGGCCAAAAGACATCATAGATAGACATTTCAGTCAGAGCAGAATACATTTATTACCAGATTTTGATGCTTTGAAATATGTATATTTATATGTCCACAGGTCTGCTAAAGCTTTATGGCTTTACTTAACATTCTGCTAATATTTCAACTGGTGCTTAGCTGCAGAGCTGAAGACTTGAGACTTTGAGTCAAAAAGAGAAGTCAACTTGACTCCCTAAAGACTTGACCTAACGTGAGACTTTTTATTTTTGACTTGGTTTTTTACTTTTACATTGTAGTATAACTTCATATTTGGCTATGTTTGAAATGTAATGCTTTTTGTGTCTGGCCTAGCATTCAAGATAGCATAAAACGTTGCCACTGATTTAACTTGTGTAAAACTTGAAGAAGTGACTGGTAAGTTTACCTCCGCTTGTGTGTTCTCTAACTGTGTGAAGTTGATATTTCGGCTAAAAGACGATTCTTCCATTTCTTCTCTGAGGGAACGAAGCTCAGTCCTCAAGGAGTGTTCCAGTGTTACAGCCTAGATGAGTGGAAGATGGAAATGTTAAGGAGTGTATCTATTGTTCAATGAATGACAAAGATGAGACTCTCAAAACCTGCTAGTCTGCATTTTTCCTGTCTGTGTGACTGTGATACCACACACAGACAATTCACACACACACACAGACACACACACACACACACACACACACACACACACACACACACACACACCTAGATTTGGTTTATTCTAACAGCATTATGTCATAACTGTGATGTTTTCTTTGGTGCAGCAGCTTGTCAAGGCCGGGTTCAGGCTGCCTGACTAACCTCTGCTAACTGCTCCACCAACCGCTGGTTATGATTGGCTAACTGAGTCAGCTGTTCACTCTCATCCCTTCGCCGGTCACGCCCCTGGCTATGATGTCGCTCCAGCTCAGCTCTCAAGGCAGCTAAATCTGCAGCCAGCTCCACCTCTCTTTGCCCAGATGTCAGTTCATTCATCTCCAGCTTCCTTTGAAGAACATGCTTCTCCTGCTGTAAAGCCTGAGACATTAAACACAACACTGAAGTGGCTTCAAGGTAACATGAACATATCAGATATTGAAATACATGGATGGTTTAAGGGTCTGTATTCTTGTTGGAGACATATTCATTGAGTCCATTGAGTCTGGCCTTTTCACAGCAGACATTTTGACTTGTCACAGAAGAAAATCAGTACAGTACAAATCATAGGTGTTACCAGTTACACGAGCAATGGCTCTGTTCTATTCAAGTGTCGCAGTCGGAAGTGCTGACAGTGTGAGAGTGAGCCAGCACAATACCAGGACCCTGAAACTGAAGGAGCTAAATGGAAATCAGCCATCATTAATGTTATTATTTACACTAGTGCTTTTCCTATTACAACATGTCAAAATATCTTCTGAGAAAAAGGCCCATCCTGTATATCGTTACTCAGTATCAGGAACAGATTTATACCTGCAGGGTAATAAATGCTTTAAGTAAAAATCAGCAGTGTTCAAAACAACAACAATAAAAATACTACTATTGCTGCTTCCACTTGTCTCTATAAAATATATATCTAAATACATTCATCCACCCACTTCTTTCTGCACTCTCCTCATTCGTAACTGTTTATTAATTTTTTGTATTCATGTGATATGCAAAGACAGAAGTGTGGTACCATATCAAAATTTGACAACAGTAGTAAATCTGTTTAATTTTTTCACGATGCTGTTGTAATGCCCCCACCTTAACTTTTAATTTTTTACTTTTTTTATATATTTAATACTGTTTTTACTATTATTCTTGGCCTTTTATGCCTTTAATGGACAGTGACAGCTGAGATAGACAGGAAAAGGGGGAGGGAGAAACAGGACGACATGCAGCAAAGGGCCACGGGCTGGAATCAAATCTGGGCAGCTGCAGTACGGATTCAGCCTTGATACCTCGGGGGGGGGTGTTCTACCAGGTGAGCTACTGGAGTGCCCCTTTTTTTTAATAAGGGTTTTATATCCTATGTTTTTGTTATCAGCATTGGTTTATTTACATGGGAGAACAATGGTTATTACTTACAGGCTTACAAGTCTTTCCACCTTCATAATGATTGTCTTGCAGGCTAGAATAACAAAAATGTAAAAGACTCCTTTTGTTGCCCGCTCACTACAGTTTTAAGTAGTGTTAGAAGGCTTGTATAGTTATAAAAAACACTGTTAACAGCAGCTTTATCCTTACCTCCACCTCCTTCTCGCTCTGCTCCAGAGAAGCTGCCAGTTCCTCATTCTTCTCCAGTAAAGCCTGTCCCAGCTCTGCAGCTAGGATCAGATCCGTCTCTATCCCTCCTCCGCCGTCACTGCTACCAGGAGAGGATATGGATGAAGGGAGAGCAAAGGAGAGCGAGACTGAGGAGGATGAGGAGAGAGGGAAGAAGGAGCCCTCCAGACTGGGGGAGGGAAGACTGTTTTTCCTGGGGGTGAACATTGTTGGCAGGCTTATAGGAGTCAGTTAGAAAGCATCATCGCAGGTCCTTGGACTCCACACTCACACAGGGGGCAGGTGGACAGCCATGAACTTCTGTAAAATCAGGAATCCCGTTTCTGTTTGTTGGTGGTCTGGTCTGGAGGGGATTAAGTTTACTTTCCAATTTTGTGATCCAGAGTATGTCTCTGCCAAACTTGTTCTTCACTGTGGTGCCAATGATCCTAATACTGGTATCATTCAAATCTTCTGTTCTTCACAGATAACTCTGTGGGCAAGAAAAGAACTTCAGTAACACAGAAAAACACCGGTAACAAATAGAACATGTATGATAACTTGTGTGAGCATCAGACTGGTTGTTTACTAGTAATACAATCTCACATAGCCTTTAAGGAGGTCTTTTGTCTGACAGGTCCTTTTGTTACTCTGACCGAAATACCAGTAACACTATTATCTTTGTTCTGTTCCCCCTCCCTAAATTCCAAAGGCATTGTGCTCCTCTATTTCCTACAAATACAACAAAGTCTTGAATGTTCCTAAAACAGCCTCTGAAGTAACCATGTCTAACCAAATCATTGAAAAACAATCACCACCACACTTTCCCCCCCCAAAATAAAAATTAATAAGACACTGCTACCACATATTGTTATTTCCAGTAAGTTCTGTCTAAATAAACTAAATTTTGGTGATAATATAGTTGCTCTCCTCAGACTAAGTTTGACGCCACCATCTGCTAGCTCACCTGTTACTGTTACCTCTCACCATGAAACCATGTTGTCATCTGATTCAAAATAATCTAAAAGCCAATTAATGAATTCATTCCTAATTAAACATCATCTGTTTCCATTATAAGAAGTAACTAAATGTTAACCCATGTTCAACTTGACATCGAAGGAGCAAAAATTAAGCTTGCCTTACCTGACAGTTCTCAGCCGACTCATACCAAACAGGTATAGTCTTCCTGTTTGGTGAGTGAGTGTGTGTGTGTGTGTGTGTGTGTGTGTGTGTGTGTGTGTGTGTGTGTGTGTGTGTGTGTGTGTGTGTGTGTGTGTGTGTGTGTTTGGGAGTGTTTGCACAAGAGAGGCTCTGCTGGTTTCCTTGGCAGTGGAAACATACAGTATGTAAATATAGCCAGTAGCTCCACCTCCTGAATGAAAAAGGTAAAGAGAACAAACAGAGAGGAATACCCTGAGAGACAGAGCCGGAAGACATGAACAGTGGCGTGTTTGCTGTAAGACAGCCGCCGATCTGACATCTAGTGGCTGACCAAGGTAGGGAACACACAGATTAACTCTGAGGAATGTGTTAACAAGTCCAACATTGCTGTTTGAGCAGGGGGTGACACAGGGTGAGAGGTGAAGAAAGAGAGAGGAAGGTTAGGACACAAGCAGGGGTCTGTCTAATCTGGCCCTCCTCCTCTCTATCCCCCATCCTGTTTACCTGCCTGAACAGTTTGAAAGGAGTTCTGTGTGTGCTCATGGATGAGGTAGGGGGGTAGGGAGAGTAGAAAAAGGGGACTGCCATCGCCACACCTCTGTCCTGGGGACGGCACACAGACAAAAGGGAACAAGACTCCCACAAGACTCCCACCATTAGATCAACACATACAGTACAGACATGCCTTGCAAACTCTGGCTTGTTCTTTCAGTGTGGCTTTTGCTACCAACCTCTGAAGCTGGACGACAGATGCCTAAACTTTCTGACAAGAAACTCTGCGCTGACTCCGAATGCAGCAGTAAGTAGCACACCCACCAACTTAATTTTTCTGCTGGTGACTGCTGTGCTTAGTAGTTAATTATGCTTGAATCATGTTATACAGCAAAATGTTTAATTTCCATAAAAAGTCTCCCTGGATACAAAAACTCGTTTTACATTCCTGTACAGATCCTATCCTGATAGCTCGTGCACTGCAGGATTACTACCCTGGAGACTGCAGGTTCATCCCCATCAGACAGGGGCAGCTCATCTATGTCTATGCAATGTTAAAGGACAGAGGGAATCTCTTCTGGGCTGGCAGTGTAAGTTATTTATGGGACCATACATGTTGCTTTGATATATTAAGCAAAAGACCTAAGTCAATAACTTGTGTCCATATGATGTGTTTGCAGGTACAAGACTCCTATTACGGACAGCAGGAGGCTCGTATTGGCCACTTCCCCAGCAGTGTAGTGGAGGAAACGCATCCTCTCATGCCAGCCAGCACTGAAGTCAAGACTACTGTAAGTGAACACACACACACACACACACACACACACACACACACACACACACACACGTATGTATTATGTGATGCTTTCTCTTAATTTTATCTCTCTTCTTATTTCCAGAAATGGGACTTCTACTGTTACTGATAACGAGAATCAAATTCTGGTCAACTACATTACATGATAACTTCTTTTTTTGTATCATATGATCTTACACATAGTGGTGACAATGTAGGTTTGCATGTCCACATTGTTTATAATCTGCATCTTGGAAGATAAGTAACAGCTCTACACAGCATAAAATGATTCTAGATTATAATCATATAAGGTTATATCTCTATATTTGACTTATTGTGTCAGTTCTAGTCTCTGTAATACTCCATCAAACTGTTTATATCTGTTTTGCATGTAAAAGTATTTGTAAAAGTGCAAAAGGTAAATAATGCATGTGCATGTCTTTCCCTGATTCTATTATTCAACTACTTCTTTTTCTTGGTGATTGTGTGTCACCAGATAAATATGTAATGTTCAACAAGCAATGTCAGCTGATCTTTATTTTTATTTTGGATTAATAGAAAACATCAAATGTGTAATTAAACTCAAAAGTACTAAAACAACACATTGAAATTAAAACATTACAATACAGGTGACTTTTGCAGTCTGATGCAATAATAATACTACAAATCATCTAATCTTGTACTTTTTCTGAAGATGGACAAGGTATTCTGTCCCTAGTATTATTTTGAGAAATTAGAATAAAAGGAATCAGATATATTTCCAATGCACAGGCAAGAAAATTTGGTAGAATGGAAGTAAGAGTGTTAAAGTTGAAACCATTTGATAATAGGATAATAAAGACATTTCATTGTTGAAAATAACATATTTTCATTCCTTTAGAAATCTGCAATCTCACACACTTCTCAATTTTTCACAAAATGATTATTATGAAAACTATGTAAGTCCAGACCTGACAAAAGCAAATAAAAACCTCTACGCATAATACGTGGTGCTTATTGTTTTAAGTCAAACAAGAAAGTAGCTTGATTCATATGTTGTTATAAGTTGTTATGTGAAGTTCTTTTGAAAACAGAACCACTATACACACATAAAGACAACACACAGCAGATATGATTTTAAGTTTCATGATTTATTCTATCTGTTGTTGTCTGTGTTAATATGCCAGAGGGTTGTTGCCAATATGAAGGAATGATAGAGCTGTAATTCTTGCATCTACAAGCACATAATGCACTCACTCTCACATACATTCACACATTCCTTAGCAGCTCAGAGGCCATGCTCCCCAGTGGAAAAGGAGCCCAGTGTAAAAAGCTGTCTGTCTCCTCCCTCGTCCACTACATTCCCTCCTGCTCATTCACCCTCATTCTTCCTCTCAATGAGTGCACACCTGGTCCCAGGTCCTTTGGTGGCTTTTTTTTAGTGACTGTATATGCCTTCGGAGAACTCCCTTTTCCTCACACATACAGAAACTATTCTCAAAGAATAAACAAAGCACAGCTGTCATCTTACTCATACCCAGTCAGACAATACTGTGTACTGTAGATACAACTGATTTTAACTAGTTTTAGTCTGCTGTCATCTTCTGTGCACAATTTCCAATTCCTCACATTGACATTTTAGCATTTCCCTATAAAATTAACAGGTGCTGAAAGCTAACTTGGGTTTAAGTAACAAAGGCTTACATTTTTTCTCACTAGACTGCAGGCCAGTAAACTTTAAATAACATTCAAAGGAAATGCTTTTCAAAATCTGATTACATGCCCTTGTAGTGGTGTGAATATTTTGGGCAGAGAGGAATAGGGAAATGAACTCTCAGGAGTTCATTATCCTGCAGCTCACTCCAATGTGTCAATTCAAAGTTCAAATAGACTTTGTTACACATGCACAACATATTAGCCTTTGGTTTTAAAGCACCATTGTCTTGCAGAGATAATAATAACAGTGAGTTAGGAATTAGATACTGGTTTATTAGAAGGCACTTGGACTTATAGACATCTAGACCTGTATGCCCCAACTACTGTACGGTATATGTATACTGAACAGCCAACAAAACTGTAACAGGTTAAACATACTAACAGGCAGCACTTGGGGTTAGTAGTGAAACAGTGTACGGAGCATCAGACTCTGCTCTACATTTTTTGTTTCGGTGTTCCATCTTCACAGGCAATAGGAATAATGCGCTCTTCGCCCACAGCAGATGACCGAGGTGCAGTGATTGTAAGCACACCATCAGATGACAGACTGGAGGTGACATCAGCACTTAATATGCCATTTGGGAGCCTGTACTTCCTCAGAAACTCTCTTGACACAAAGCCGTGGTCGTCCTGGAAACAGAATAGGTAAATCAGTAAAGTGTCACCGAATCAATTTTGTTTGACTATTTCTGCGAATCTCTATAGTCCCTCTTACCTTTCTGTCTTCATGCTTGGCATGTACTGTGATAAACTCGTCACTGACACTGACAGACAGCTCGTCAGGGGAGAAATGCTTCACATCCAGATAAATGACGTAACGATCCTTTTCAATCCGCATCTACACAGACAGTACAGCTGTTAGGAACAGGACTGACACATTTTGCTGCGTGCCCTACAGCCTGGAGGCAGCAGGGCATAAAAAAAACACAACAGCTTGTTATTGTCATCTCAGGGCAAGACTCATACTTTTCTATTATTATACAGAGACTGGCATCAGTGGAGGAGGATACTTTTCAGTGGCATTTCTGACTCAATAATGTAAAATCAGACATACAAATCTCACATATTAAAGATTTCAGTGCATTTGAATGCATCTAATTGTCACATCATTCTACACACAATTAGCCATTCAGATTTTATCGTAAGTAGTATTAGATGAGATATTGGTGATCTTTCACCACCTTCAGTTAACAGTCAACTTGTGGGTTATAAATGTAAATAATAAATTTGGCACAAGGACAATTTTACTTACCTCACTGGGGCCATTGTCGGACCAGTTGAACCAGCGCATGAATGAGGGGCGCATCCAGGGAAAGGACCAGGGCAAGGGCCAGATAAGTGGCCAATCAGTGAGAGGTTCTGCCAAGGAGAGGTCAGAGAGTCGATGTGGGAAGGCCCGACGGTACCAGGGATACTGGATGGGGATATCCATGATGAGATTCCAGACAAGATGTAAAAACGATGGGTGAGAGGGAGGTTTGACTTGGTCTGACGTGCTCTCCTGCACCGCATTTATAGGCCTTTTCCCTCCCATCACACCCGGCGCTGTCTCTGTTCACGTCCTCTGCGTCCCCCTCCCCTCTGTAACTTCCCATGCACACTGGCATAGTGACTCTGCCAAGTGATCTTTCTGGAACAATGATGTCAACTGTTTATCCCTCCATCGCCCTCATTGTTTCATCTGACCGGGACTGGTTATCTCTTGCTCCCTCTGGCTCAGAGTACTGCTGATGCCCCCATACTCATGCCCCAGGAAATGCCCCCGTCTGGATCTGTATGTGTGCTTGTGTGTTTTTGTTTGAAGAATATCTGCCAGAGCATTAGCCTGCTGTGCTCTGAGTGCCAGAAGCTTTGGGTTTGTGTGCAGAATGGATGTGATCTTGAATGGGAATTGATGAGTTCGTATGGGACAGCATTAGGTGACACTTTAGGCATGTAACATTTTGCTATGAGCTCAGATGTAAAATATGAAGTGCTTTCCAACTGTGCAAAAGTTGTGCCAACCAAATGTCTTTCGGTCTCTGCTTCTTCCTCCCAGTAGTGTTGTCTTCAATGTAGGAGAAGTGCACACATTAAATTGTGTTATCTGCAGGCTGGCTCTTTCTCCCGAAACCATCACCCAACCACTGTAATGCTTTCCACCCCTTTCACATTCACCAAGCCCTGGCATTGTGCCATACTAAAACATCTAATTTTTACATTGCAATAGCCTTCTGAACCAAAATTAGTTTGATTACAAAGGAACAACCTTCATTGCTGCAATGCGCTAAAGCTGGCCTGACAGGGCCTGGAGTCATCAGGTCATGGATCTGACTTAGAAATATCTATTATACAGCAATAGCTAATGGTCAGCTGCAGCAGTAAATGCCCTTACTGCCTTGAACTGATCAACATTTTATTAAAATTAAGCTTTCCATTTGTAAACAGAAGAACGTTTATTTCTTCTTTTAAAAGTTACATAGTCTTTAATTTCTCTGCCTCAATCATGGGTAGTAACAGTAGTTGATTGTTTAAAAAGCAGTTACTAGTTTGAGTTTTGTATGATTACTTTTTGTTTGCATATATAATTTTGTGTAACTGGGTTTTTATTCATGCGAGCTGTGGTCACTGAATGGGGACCTGCTTAAGCACGGTTGCTATCTGTCATAGTTAAATGTCTTTTAGCAAAGTCTCTTTTTACTATTTAAACCTACAATGAGCGGATAAATTAATTTAAACACGTTTTTTTTCTAACCAGTAACGTTACTTTAAGTAAAGTTATTGTGTGCTTCATGTTTTGTTTAGCGTCGTTACCATGGTAACGTGCCGTGCCTCGGCCTGGCTTTAAACAGTCTGTTGTCGGATAACAGAAATAACGTTATGGTACGCTAGTTGGTTGAAACTACGGTTGTGGGCTCAGAAATGGATTTGCCGGCCTCATATTACGGGAAACTTGATAAAAGAAACCCAGTTATTTCAGCGTTTGAACGAGACATTAACTCGTTTATAACGCTGATGAGACGAGCCGCTTCATCGACTAGTCCGGACAACAGCTCTTCTGCTAACGGGTGAGTAAGGTGGACGTTAGCTGGCGAATAGCTTAGTGTTGCTTCTTCCACCTGAAAGTATATTAACAGTTTAACCTTGTCACTTAGTCAGCAAAAGTTATTAGCTATCCCAATGACAGCTGCACATCAGAATAAAACAAGTTGTTTGTCTATTTATTCATTTATTTTATTACTTTTTATTATGTATTATTAGTTTATTAGTCATAGCATAAAGGCAGGGCAGGCAGGTGCGTAGCTACATTTAAAACTAGGGCCCACAGAGAGTCTTTAACTCCACCTTTCCATCACAACAATGACAAACTCAGTTTTGTTAATGGTCATAAATCAGTAGGGGCACCTATTCTTAGCCAAACGTGCAAGCAGTTTTTTTTCTTCTTCTACATTACATGATAACTTCTTCTTCTTGCAAAGAGTGCCTGCTGTCTGATAGTCAGAGTGCTAATGTTATACACATTAGATACACAGCCTGTGTAATGGGTGCTTCAACTTTGCGTTCATTTTAACATTAAGATGTTTTTAATTTGATATTTTCATTTTGAAGGATTAAAATCCTGGTGGAGATATGGAAAAAGTACAAACATCGACTGCCTCCGAAGTTGTACCAGGAGCGCATGCTGCACATTGCAGACTTTCTCTTTGGGATAAAGGTAATTCACAGTTGCCTTGATAATACCTGCTAATATTTGGTTTCACACATTCACAGTTGCCATTCCATATGTCATCCCTAACCTTCATCTGTAGTTGTACCAGCTGGCTCTTTGGCAGGGCTATAGTCTCCACCTGCTGCAGTTCAGCTCAGTGAAAATAACTGACATCACAGATGTGGACCACTTCATGGCCTGCTTCTTCCCTGAAGGTTTTGATACAGACCAAGAGACCTTTGCCATGAAGGTACCCTGTAATGTGACTGTACTATATGAGCTTGTGTGTCTTTGTGTGTAATATCTCTGTGAAGGTGAAGTAAAAAGCATTCTATGCTTGTTGTACGTTGTTGTTTTATATTACTAAGACATTTTGACATTGATATTTTGAAATGTTTATACCTAAACCCTGAGATATATGTTGTATGTGTTTGTCTGTGTGTGTGTGTGTGTGTGTGTGTGTGTGTGTGTAGGTCCGTGCAATGCATGGATGTGCCCTGTGTATATTTGAGCAGGAGAAAAGTCACAGTGTCCTCAGCCACAAGGGACTCTGTGAATTGCTGGGAGTGCTGAACTTCATCAGGATCATGATGCAGGCTTTTCAGCAACATGAGCACCTCTGCTGGCAAATATATAATGGTATATTAGTACTTCAATAATTTTGTCTTCTATTTGCTTTTCGTCTGACAATTTTATTTAGGAAGAACGAACTTTGTCAACTTTGTGAACAAAGCTAATGTGATTTCATATAGCAACAGGTTAACCTCTGAATGGTACCCTGTGCTTCCCAGAAATATGTTGGCACTTCTCTTCAAGAGCAAGATTTAGTGAAAATTACATAATGTGCATTAGTTAAATAATGATAATTCATCTGTTAAAGTGAAGTCAGAAAATCTACTGTATGTTCTGTTATATTGTAGAACTTACCTCGTCTTTTACTTTTTCTTTTTCATCTTTTCCAGGTTCGCTACACACCTACACCATCTGTCGTTACCTGATGACCATGAACTGTAGTGCACAGGTACTTTGAAAGAGATGGAACATGTACTACTGCATTTCTTGTTGCAGCTGTTACAGATTATTTGTCTGTCAAGGAGCTTTTTTAAAAAGATTTTTTTTTGCCATGTCTGATGCACTCTAAAACAAAAGGTAAAATGGATGAGAAATGTTATGTGACAGAGGTTTTGAAACAGACGGTGCATGGTAAGTGTTAAGGGAATGAGTCACTGGAGGATCTGCAAACCCATAACATTTGGTTTGTTCTAATTGTGATTGGAATTTTATTGAGGTTTCAAAAGTGTAAAAGTAAAGTAAGTAAAGTGATTCACTCTTTTCTGCACATTGGCTTGTTTCCCTATCATCCCTCTGGTGTATTATGACTAAGAAAGACACTATGCAATGCTTAAAAGTGACTGACACTTTACAGAATGAATGATGTGATATAAGCAGAAATGAGTGTGATTTATAATGTAGATATAATAGTGTGTATCACTCTTCATCATTCCTTTTGCCACCATTTATGATTCTGTCCAGGCACTGGAGTACCTTCTGTGGGCAAGCATCAGTTTAGAGCTCTCCATCCCTCTGATGAATGCTAAGTATCTGCCATGGATTGTTACACTCTACTGTGCTGTCTGCCACTGTTACTATGACAACCAGGCTTGGGTTCAGGTGGAGGTAAAAGACACACGTCATCTGCTTCCAGACACCTACATACATACAATCATCATGACGTCTATGTCTAATGTCTATGACTATTCACAGGCTGCTCTAATAAGTTATGAATACCAAGAGTCACCTGTTGCTGATCTTTCTTCAGTTTTCTGTTAGCCAGCCTAAGAGCAGTCTATTTGCTGTTCTGTTTAAAGAAAACTACCTAGGACTATTTAATAAAACTTCCATGATGTCTGCATAGTCAAGATATTATTGTTACAAACACAGGTTAAATAATTTATTCCTCATACTTGTCTTTCAGTGTGCTGGTGACATATAATATATGGACAAAATTAAAATGTTATGTTTAATTCACATATTAAAGTCACAAATGTTCATAAATGGAATTTCTGAATTATTATGAAAGTCCTATTCCCCATTTGTGCTTTCAGGAATTTGCCAGGAGAGCCCTTGGGAAAATCAATGAGCTAGCAAAGATGGAGGAGCAGAATGATGTTCCTGCCACCAGAGAGACTCAGAGAGCTTACAAGGAAGCCTCTATCAAGGCAGATGTCTCCTCTCGTTGATTTATAACATATCCGAAACATACTCTTAAAGGCACACTATGCAAGATTTTTGCCTTAATATAACAGCTTTGAAGTCATTTTGATGGTAAACAAACTCGTAGTATAGTGAATCATCCCGATAGCAAAGCTGGAGAGGGACGCCGCTGGCAGAACCAGCAATGCAAGTCTGAAAGGCGGCGTCCCGCCAAATCTCGCGAGAATCACGAATTGCTTTACGCCGCGACGTCACATAGATCAGCGACATAAGAAGCAGCCTCAATGGAAGACACTAGCAAGCATTCACTCAGACGTTACCTGGTCAGTAGACATCTTCGGAGTCTATCTTTGCCTGTTCGATGTCCGACGCTTCCATCCTACTGAACATGTACCGGTATACAGGGGGGAGGGGATCAGGCCGTGAGTGCAGAGACGCAGAGTCGTATATAGAGACGGCTCTGGTGAGTGGTATTTACGACAGTTAACGTTAAATACAAGTACTCCGCAGCGAGTCTAGGGGTAGCTGTTTGACAAAACCGGAAAACTGCATAGTATGCCTTTAATACTGTTGCTGTGATTAATTATGAGAGAGTAGAGATCATTCCTCTCAGCGACGGACTCAGCAGAGAAAAACATCAGAAGGATGCAAAGAACATAGAACAATTATGAAACCATGCCAATCTCCGTATCTAATCAGTTTGAAGTCCAATGTTTACTGCCTGAGCATGAGAAGCCACATTTATTTTTTCTCAAACCATGCCTTGTAAGTAAACAGTAGCTCTGTATTCAAAACATCTCTCAGAGGAAACATCTCTCTCTCTCTCAGTCTGTAGCAGTTTCACTAGATAGCCTCCACTGTATGTTTCCTTCTGAAGATTTTCATGTTACTTTCTGGGCTAATGTTAACAGTTTGTTTGCCTCTACAGTTGGCTGCTATGATGTTCAAGCGTGCAGTGTTTGAGGCCAGAAGGAGACACAAACCAATATATAGAATAAAAACCAAAAGCACCCTGAAGGACATACCCAAAGTAATAAGATCTTTTACTGCCATATCAATAATATAACATTCAGTGTTAAATCTCGTCTCTCAGTGTCATAGACCCATCAAACACATGCTCCTGTTTAACTGCTAAATAAACAGTTGATTGATTAATAAATAAACAGTATGATTGTTCATTTTGTTGTTTATTATATTGGGCTAATATTGGATTTTATATATAGATTTTGTTGGATTTTGTCAAATTTTTTTTGATTCTTTTGTTAACTCTTGTAATTGCTATTTCCCACCTGTGGAACCTCAGTGCAACCACAGAGGTCTCTCCAAAAGATCTCTAATTTAATTGTATGTCAGTATTAGGTGTAGGAGGCTGTTCGCTTAGATGCTCAGTTCATTTTGTTGTTTTTCTTGTAACATTACCTAAAATTGTATGCCTGTCTATATCTACTGTAGGCCCCATGGCCTCGTACTACAACAGAACGCATGCTAATGGGCCTGTTTGACAGCAGCGCAGCACAGTTCTTGGGCATCTTGGAAGCCCTTTGGGACAGCACCAGACACCCACTGCAGACCAGGATGCCTGATGAACCAGAGGTGCAGGAGGTGATCCTGGAACTCCTATCTGCTGGCATCAGTATATTATCTGGTTAGTAAAACACAGACATATCAGAAAAAAAACATTTACAGTAGGTGCGTAATTGAAAGAAAACATACAAGTCCTGTAAATGCTTTGGAATAAATTTGAATGGGTATTTAAGGTGAGGAATGCTCACTGTATGTTTTGACTAATGTGCTTGTATGTTACCATGTGTGAAGGAGTTGAAACTACTAGTGAATCTCTCAGTGCACTGACACCAACATCTACTCTAATGGATTTAGCCATTACAGGTTAGTCATAGTTTTCTTTGTCCCTTTTTTTCTCACGTTACAATGAACACGAACAGCATGTAATTGTGTGTTGAAAGATGTTTGTTTTTCCGCAATGGTTTGGAAATCAGTGTAAAGTAACGTGATGTGTTGTGTTGCTAGGAGAAAACAAAATACCCATCATGTCTGCGATGAGGTTCATTAAGCTGTTGTTTCAGTACAAGCAGCCAGATGCGTTCACTGAACTTGCCAGAGGGATGCTTCAGGTTTTGTCTGTGAGTGGCGCGCTAGCATTTACCACAGTTGTCATTATTCAGTTCAGTGTGTGCTGTGTCTCTGAATGATCTTGACTGTCTCTTTGTGTCTCTCTGTGTCAGGGTGTGGAAGGTCGATCATTCAGGAAGGCAGAGCTGGAGCTTGCATTATTTGATAGTTTCAACAGTCTGCTGTCTTCCCAGGGGAGCCGTAGTAGAGAGGACAGCATGATTGATGGTAGCAATAGTGAAATTATGTCAAACTGATTCTGCCTTTTTCCCTCAATTCCCTGTGGCTGCCTTATGAACATGATTATGAGGATCACTGGTTATTATTTATCCTTTCAAATATCAGCTGACAAACTGAGAGATGTTGATATTAGTCAGGTCCTCAACAATGGGCCTCAGTTATTTGATTACAAAATATCCATTAACATTGATTTTACTGATGTATAATGTGGTGGTGTTGTTTCCAACAGACAGACACAAGTCTTCATTCTCAATGAGTGATGAGTTCATTGGCCTCGTAGACACCCTGCACAAGTCTGTTTGTGGGTCTGCTCCTGTAAGTTTCTATGCTGTGTGTTCCATGTTGGTGTGTTTGTGTTAAAGTCGATCTGCTGACGATTAGTGTTCGGATTAAAGTTAGAAGTAGAGTTCAGAGGAGCAGTTTTTTCAGTGTGTATATATACTCTATGTGTTTGTGTAGCAGGTACAGCCAGATGGGGACCTGGTTGTGGATGTTGTGTTATTTCTGTGGGGTAAAGTAAAGGTGGCCATGAAGAGGGATCAGCTGCAAAACCTAGAGTTTACACACTACCTTAAGAAGGTAGATAATCACGACAAGGTATGTATTTAAAAAGGTAAGCATTTTTGTAACTTTACTTTTTCAGGGTAATGGGAACACATTATTGTCAAATATGAAACAGTCACTTTTATTCTTCACAGTGAGATTTTTAGAGTCTAGGACTGAATGAGCTGTTAGATTAATTTGAAAAGGATAAAACACATACATTATATTATACTTTACATACATTTTTCACAGTATGTCTAATGTCAATGTCCTCAAAATTTCTGTGTGTAACATGTTTGCAGTGGCTGTGGTGTCTGTCTGTGCTGTGTGAGGTGGCCTTTGCCTGTGACCTGGCCACTATTGACTGCATAATGACGGCAGAGATGATCCACACATTGGCTATACTGCTAGAGAGTGCAGCTGAACACAGTCATCAAACACAATATCCAGGTGAGGAATTAGGTTCTAGCATTTACTCTATTTCAGTCTGTGGGACAGCTGAAATCATGCATCTTGATCTTGTGTTGTTTTATACCATATCACTGGTATTTGATATTACCTCAGTCAACCATAGGTGTGACATTGTTATTATTCTCATGTCTTATCCATCAGCTCGTGAAGCAGACAGTGCTGGTGTGAAGCCAAGCTATTGCTCTCTTCTTGAGGTATGTGAATGGAAAGACTGTCTATGGTTCAAATGATAGTTCTGTATATTGTTGTGCAAGTGATGAAAAAACAAATTACACATAAAATGCCAATGTGCCATAGTCTGGCTTAGCTTTTAAAAAAATAATGTAAACAAAAATAGAATGTGCAATGTGTGTGTTTGTGTGCGCTCACAGAGTTCAAGTACAGAGCTGCTTCATAAGGTGTGTGAGGTAGCGGAGAGGGGTCTTGAAGCTCTGGCGAAGGGTGTATCTACACTGCTGCCCCAAGATTGCTCAGCAATCACTGACTCTGCCTTCATGCAGGTAGGCAGTTAGCCTGTCCAACACCTAAAAGTGGTTGATAGAAGTTCAGTCTGACAGTTATTCATTCTATAACATTCTAAGCCATCTGTTGCCTGGTTTGCATCTCAACACTGTATTTTAAGATGTGAAAACATGCAAAAAGTGAGTGTTAAAACCTAAACCTACTAAAACCTTTTTTCCTTTTGTTCTGGCAGAGATTTGGTCCCCTCCTTCTATCTACTCCCTCTCTATGTTTTTTGACACCATCAGAAGAGGAAAATGAAGATAAATTAAGTAAGAAGGAAAAAGAAGACGTGGAAACTGAGGCAGAATCAGATATTAAAGGCTCTCAACACACTCAGTCCACACGCGTGTTCCTGCTGGCCACAGACCTTCATCTCGAGCTAAACATCATCCGTCACAGGGCTTCTCTCAAGTTACTGCAGCTAAACGCAGGTCAGACTCACTGCCACACTGACTCATTTACTCATTGGTGATTTTTGAGAATTAATTAGACCTTTTTGATTGCCTACATTTTGTACTCAATTTTACATTATAAAAATGATGACATTTCTTGATCCTGCACTTGCTAATTAACAAACAGAAGTTTAAATCTTTGACAATAAATCATGGTTAGTTAGTGTAAATGTTACAAAAGTTTATTGATTTGATGTCTGTCAATAATCATCATGCCTAATTGTTGACACAAATAATGGGTCTAAACTAGGTGCTTTAATCTGAACCGTTGTCGGTTGTGTCTAGTTGCAGAGTCTGAACTCTTGGATCGGATCAAGAAGAACAAGTTGTCCAAAGCTCTTTACCTGATCCAGAAAGCCTTGCTGGTGTACAAAAACAAGGATCCAAATAACAGCAACAACCAAACTAATAGTCTGCTAGAGGTTAAACATGCACAAACAATCACACTTTCGTAAACACAGTCACTACTACACATCTAATGTAAAAAACTTGATATATATATATATATATCATGTCACCTACTTATATAATTACACATGTATGTTAATGTAGTACTGTGTATGTTTAATATATGCAAATATGTTCATGTATATTTGTGTCTTCTTGTTTCTGGTGGTATGTCTGTATCAGTATACAGTGAAAAGATTCATATATCCCACTATCACCAGTGAGTGGTGATTGAGATGAGTTTTCATGAACTGTAATAATTATTGTACTGATTTGTCTGTATACTCTTGCCAGGAGGCGTCCACCCTGATAGAGAAAGCAGGGGTGGAGGAGAGAAAACTGTATTTCTCCACCACCCGTAAAAATCCAGCTGAAAATAAAGACAAAGACATGAAGGAGCAAGAACAAAACCCTCCTCCTCCCCCCATCCTACTCTCACGCACTGACCACTCCTTTACATTTGCCCCAGCACCATATAACTTGGAGAGACAAGTGAGATTTGCTTTTGATTATGCTGTTCATTTTCTTATGTAACAAGAAGCAAATAATCCAAAACAATGTCTATACTTTTCATCGGTTCCTACTTTTGTTTCCTCTCAGGTGTGCTGGTACCAGCTCTGCGGTACAGCTGCTGCCATTAACCGGAAAGTCCGCCTCGGAGACTGCAGCCTGCCAGGAACTGGAAATATGGTACTATTTATCTCTTTTGTAGAAGAGTTTCAGGTCTAGTCTGACACATTTTTGCTATCTTACATGATGTGCCCATAATATTCAGTGTGATTTTGTATGTTTAAAGGTACCAGCAGTACCTGGTGGGTGCATGCTGAGGGTGGAGGGGCTGGAGCCCAACCAGAAGTATGTGTTTGCTGTTGCAGCCTACAACAGCCAGGGAAAGCTACTGGGCAACACCATAGGACGGACAACAGTCCCACTGCTGGCATCCATGCCTGCACCATTGCTCTCCACGTGGGCTCACTTGGCACAGGTACACTACTGGCCCATGACAGACTTACGGACAACTTAATACTAATAATCACAGAGCAGGATTATGATTGTAGCTTTTTTTACTCCTTCCTCAGGTGGCATTTCAAACGGAGCAGTATGGTGTAGCAAAGATAGCCTGCACCGAACTGTGGAGCCACTATACCTACTCCGACCCCGTGTCCCACGGCACACAGAATAGACTTGCTACCACAGGGTGAGGAGGGAAACACATTCAAGGTCAGTTAAGGAGTTTGTATTTCTTTGTGTTTGCTAATAATCCTCTCCTCCATCTCCATTCACCACACTGAAGGCTGCGTGTCCAGACCCTGCAATGCTCCTCTCCTTACGTATGTCAGTTGTTCCTCACTTCCATCTTTATTGAGACAGAGATCAACATTCACCTGGGATCGCTCTACTGTGACTCATTCAGTGACAACGGATTGTTTATCTGGGAACAGGTAAAATGATCTGGAGGGAGAGGTGTGCGTGTACTTTGTATGTATTTTCCAAACAGAAAACTAGAACATAACAAATAAGGCCAGCATCACAGTGTGAATGTTTATGTAAATCTTTTGCTTGTGATGTGAACAAAGGTTATGTATTTTAAATTAACATGAACACAAATAGATTATATGTGCATGTGTGTGTATGCAGGAAGCCAGATTGGCAGAGTGTGAGCGAATGCTGGTCGCCATGGAACTAGCGATGTGGTTTAATGACGGTAGCGCTGCCGTGCAAGCAGTAGTTTGCTGTTATGGCCTTTTGGCACCTCTAATCTTCCATCAGATCATTTGCGACCCTGTGGTACAGGTATGCAAAACCTAATCCAGCACATATCTTAATATTCTGTCCTATGAGGGCCAACTTTACTTGGTTAACGATATAATATAAAAGAAACAGTTAATAATTAACTCATGTGTTTATGTCTCTGATGCCCAGATGCTAAAGAAATGCCTCATAGTTTTGGAAGAAAATTCCAGTCTTCTCAAACAAAAATGGACTGGAAACACCTCAGAGTCATTTATGCATATGGTAGCCTGCATCACCTACTACCTGTCGAAGGTGTGTCTGCATGTTTATATGTACCATATACTGTTTATGTGCATGCACATGATAGACGTTTCTTGAAAATGCTAGAAATGACCATTACCTCTTTAGTTGCCTTCATTTTGGCAAAAATATGCTTCAAAAGATGCCCCTGATTATTAGTGCCATCACATTTAAATACAGGTGTAATTCGATCAACATGCACTCACCCTGTATTAGATGACTGTGTCCTCCCAAATCCCAAATTATAACCAACCAGGAACCTTATACAGGATGTTTTCTCATCCTCCATTCTCCATGAGCAGGCATTTCGTGTGCTCGGGGAGCATCAGATGGCTTCTGTGGTGATGGACTGTGGACACAGGCTGCTCCAAGAGGTCTATGATGCCCAGCTGCAGATCAGCAGACATGCCAATGCAGCTGTGGGTGTAAAGAACAGGGGAAAAGTATAGCTTCATTTAATGATTTATCCTCTGAGAACGGTGTTAGATCATGAAAGGAAATTAATTTAATTCTCAATATATTTTCTATATATTTTTAGTGATGTTTTGATATTTAGAAAAATGGCAACTGAAGAATATTTTGTTTTAGTTTTTCTCTCTCTCTGTTTGTGTGTGTGTGTGTGTGTGTGTGTGCAGTCTAAGACAGATCATGCTGCAATCAAGGGTGAAACGAAGATAAGTCTTCAGCTGAAGGCACTGAATTGGAAGAACAAGGAAAGAATCACATCTGAAGTAGCTCTGACCGCGGACAATGGTAAGACACATACAAACAAACACAAACCTGTTTAAATTATTTTTTTAAAATGCAAGTATGTTGGAAACGTGGTGTGTAAAGCAAGTGTTAGTAGTTTTGCCTTTTTATTATCAATTAAAGCCATGTTCGTTGAAAATATGCCAGGACCGCATTTGTTTCAGCATTTTAGCAACAGTAATACACACTTTTCACACTTCAATACTGTATTTTTTTCCTGTAGAGATTCCACGCCCACTGACTGGCTGTGAGGATCCCACCATATTGTATGATCTGATCTCCAACATCACATTAAAGGAAGCCTATCAAGATGGTAAGTGGCACACACTCAGATACTTTTTTTTATTGAATAATTAGTCTTGTTCATTCACACCAGTGTTTTTGTGTATGCGTTCTTGATAGTGATGAAGCTCAGACGCAAGACATATTTTGTTGAGATAGCGGCACTGCTTCTCCAAAGAACCATGGAAGAAGGCCACCCAGACCTTGTGTTAAAGTGGGGGCAAAGCATATTGGAATTTCTTTCCAGGTGTGTTTTTACTATATAGATCTTCTGGTAAAATTAGAGACATTAGCTTTAATTTCATAAACATTGTGTCATTTCATATTCAAAATAATACTGTTATACTCAAAACATCAAACAATGCATTACTGTCCATTTACTTATGGGTCATACTGTACTTCATTATAGATAGTAGTGTACTGTTTTGCCTACTGATAAAGATTTGACAGAGTGTGAATGGTTCTCTCTTTGTCAGGCGTGACGAGGTGATGGGAATGTCCACAAAATGTTTGGAGGGAAACGGTCAGAGTAAGAAAAGAAGTAGTGCTCAGACACAGAAAGGAAATGAACCACCTCAGGTGAAAATACAAATATGCAAACAAATACCCAACACACACAATACATGTAGGTACACAGCAACATACAATATCCTGTAACAACTGTTCACACACATAAATAAAGAGTATCTTGGTACACTTTATTTATGTGTGTGCTTATGTAAAGCTGTTTAAAGAGATTCTATATATTAGCTTTCTTAAAACTGCTTCACACTAGCACCCACAGAGAACCAGTCTTATTATATGGAACAGTGTTCTGGTTTCTGATAGTGTAAGGTAGACCAACCTACTGTGTACCCATCATAACTATTGCAACCCTAATAATTACATTTTGCAGAAACATATTTTCACTGTTTGCTGCTTTGCCTTAATATAAAATCCACATATAAATACCATGTGCTGCTTTTTGAAGCAGAACAAGAACACACCTTCTCACGATGATTCAAGAAAGAAACTAAAGCAGAAAATGCCCCACAGCATGCTTCAGAGAGTGAAAACTAACAGGTACAGTGTGTGTGTGTGTGTGTGTGTGTGTGTGTGTGTGTGTGTGTGTGTGTGTGTGTGTGTGTGTGTGTGTTTATCTGTGTGTTGGAGTGTTTGTGTGTATTTATATGTGTGGGTTCACATAACCGCATGTGCACTGGATTTCTCTCCATTTGTGTGTAGGGAAATGCAGGCTGTAGAGAACCTGCTAACCATGATGTCGTCTGTGGTGCAACGCCACAAGAAGCAGCTTCAACTGAGGAACATGTGCTCTGAGGAGAGAGTGTGGAAGTCTCAAATCAACTACAACATGGCTCAAGCCCATTTAGCGCTGCTTTACCAGGGCCTGGACCAGCTGCACGGAGGAGCCCTGCAGCACAGGTTTGCTTACAAGATACAAGCTACTTTACTTCACCATTTCTGTGTTTTTCTGGGTGCTATTTTTTGTTTTTTTCAGTTATATTAACTGACCCAAGAGATTGCTTCAATTACATGCTAACACAAAGTTTTTTAAGGAGACATTTAATGTTGCTTTTGGTGTCTGAACTCATATATTGTTGTCATTACTGCTATGATTAGTGTTAAAAACATAAGTGATTCTACATATATTATATATCCGTGTGTGTGACTAATATCATGTATGTGCTTTGTTTCAGGTACAGCCAGTTCAATCCCTTATATTTCTCTCTGGCCTTCTCTGGTATCCTCGTACAACAGCAGTTTTCTCAATATGAGGCCGTCTCAGAGAAAGACTCTACTCACTCTGGTCTTAGAGACTATGTGGCTGCACAGAAAAACAAGAGCAAAAAAGAGGGTGAGGAAAATGGCACAAAATTTGAAGAAAGAATTATCACTTGGTCTGTGTTTCATCACTTGTCTCAACCTTTTCTTCCAGTGGTCAGAGTTGATGACTCTGTCTCAGAGGACAGTTGTGAGGAGGGAGAGGACTCTTCTCAAACTGTGGAACAGCAGATTGAGATGCACAAACGCACTGCTTCCCTGCTGCTGGAGTCACTCAACAAAGCTGCTTTACATTTCCGAAGGGCCATGGTACTGTACACACATACATGGACATATTCTCACACAAGTACAGAAATGCTAACATTATGCTCAAAAAGCATTTTGTATATTGTATGAAAAACACAAAGTTTATGCTGTTGTTCAGTCACATACTGTACAATACAGTATTTGTGTGTACTAAATTGTATTTTATGTATATATTTCTAATTTTCCAGGTGCTGGCCCACCGTGGCAGCCACTGGACGACATTGCAGTGTGTGTGTCAGACTGTGTGGGACCAAAACTGCAGAATCACTATCCTAGTGCAGAGAGCTGCCCAGCTCGAAGCTCCCTCCCCCATCACAGCAGACCAGCTGCACACCACCTTCACGCCGCTACTGGTGCTGGCTACTGATCTAATCATGGACATGCTGCACAGACTAGGGGTAAGGGGGAGGAGCCTCATACACCCATACATACACCCGTAGCAGCTTGTTTAAAGAACTCACTCACATAATTATCTTTCTAATAAATTATAAAAAAAACCCTAGGTTGCAAAGTGTGTTGTGATCTATAGGCTGCCAGTGATCGCTATGGTCTCTACATGGTCATTGCATCTTGTCATCTGAGTAAAAACACATTTACAGCTACAAAGTGAAGATAACACAGTCCTGTTTGGGACTTTCATTTTGGTCTTTGACCTTCATCTTTGTCCCAACTAGCTGTGGAGTTTGTATGACAGCGACTTGACTGAGGAGGATCTAGAGTCCGGTCTCCACTTCTCAGCCCCACTTGATGACAGCACCCAAGTGGACCTGCGTTGGGTCCGCACCTTGGTGTTGCACACTCTGGAGCACCTCCACAACAGTGGAAAATGGGAAAGCCTGGCCCACTTTGCATTAGTTTTCAACTCACACACACAGTGAGTAGGACAATTGTTTTCTCCAAAGCACAGACTATATTACAATCATTAAGCTACAAGTGCTAAGATTTCATTCTAAATGGAGATTTGTATAGTTACATTCAGGAGAGACAGAGATTAGAAATAATTTGGGGCATATTCTTATTATGAATGGGAATTTGAGTGGAAAACACAGTACACACTCACTATAGTATGATATACAGAAATTACACGGAAAGCATTTAATAAACATATTAGATTGCTTCTGTATGTCTATCCCAGGGATCGTTATGCCTTGATCGTTACTCCGCTACTAGTCCATGCTCAGAGGAGGCTGCTTGACAGGATTAGTTCTTTTGGAGGACCTGCAGTCCCACAACCACATCATGTCAAGACACAGAAGGTCACTGGCAAGGAGGTAGCACATGTTTAAGCACTGAACATATTTTAATTGAAATACTGTGGGGTATCTCTGTGGGAGCATTGTGTGTATGCGTATATATGGGGTGCTGTCTTTTCTGTATGTCAGGTAACTTACAGGAGCTACACAGGCTCCCAGCTGCTCAGTGGGTGGACGCCTCACCCTGCACAGCAAACACCCATTTGCAAAAAAGCAGCACTAACAAACTTCCTTCCTCGAAGTGCAGTTGATCTTAAAGGTTTGAACAGCCGGCCTCATGTCATGTTAAATAACAAACAAGTGATGGCTGCCCTACAATTGAAATGTTTCAAATAATAGAAATGGTAGAACTATGTTTGCATGTATAATGTTTTCATATGTGCTCTGTGTCTAAGGCGCAGAGATACAGCTCTCCATGTCCCTTGTGTGCGTTCCTCTGGATGTGGAAGACACACTGAGCTGTTACCGTCAAGCTCTTGAGAGAAGACCACATTGTCTTCAGGTCTTTCAGCATAGTCGCTCATTGCTGCTGCTGCTGCTTCTGGGACACACACAACCCTGTGAGTTCAGTGCTCATTGAACGGCCTCACACACTTACTCACACAACATCTGTTTGAAACTCTCACTATTTGCACTGCTCATATCTCTTTAGGCTTTGTGGCACAGTTTCAGCACTGTCAGAGCAGAAGTCTCAGCCATTCTACAAGTCTGGTGGATTTCAGTCCCATAGTTAGGCCCACTCCAAACATCCAACCTTGTGACCTGACAGAGGAGGACTACAGTACTCCAAGTGCTCTCTACAGCCTCCCCATCAGCCCTGACCACATGACGACTGTCACTGCTGCATACTCCACCTCCATTAGTAAGAGCCCAAAATACTTCAATAGCAAACTGAGTTGTCAATTGGTGGGAATAGATGTGTTATAGAGAGTACCAGTAGACTAAATGACAAGATAATAGCATGGAATATCTGGAATATATGTGTCAGGCTGTCAGGGTCATAAAAATCTTACTTTCCTTCCCATCTCTATCCAACTTTTCTTTAGAGTATCTCCAGGCCAACAGTCATGACTCCCTCAAAGTTCTGGCACTGCATGAAATGGGAAACCTACAGTTCTACAATGGAAACACAAGGTTAGAATCTTTTGCCTGAGTGTGTATGTCTGTGTGTTGAAGAAAGCCTACAGCCTTTTAGTGCATACATGTACCTGCAATTATGCAATTAAGCAAGTCTGTAAGTTGAGCTTTTCATGATTTTCCTTACATTCTTGTAATAATTTCATTCCTGCCTGTGTTTTTTCTCCAGGGCAGCACACTCATACTGGAATAAAGCTGTAGATTGTGCCTTAAAGAGCTCAGGCGCTGTAGAGAAATGGGATGGCATGTCCTTTGGGGGTGGCTCCCTGCAACAAACCCTGAAACAAGCTGGCATTTGGGGATGTCTACAAGCCGCTGGGCTCACTGCTAAAATTGCACAGTATGTTTCAGTAAGGTTTATCATTAATTTGATGTGGGGGTTTTACTGTAAAGCATATACCTTTAAAACCTACCTGCTCCTACAGGTTTATCTTAACTTCTGATATCAGCCAGCGGACCAAGTGCTGTCTCCTGTCTGCTCACCTCTTTAAGGTAATACTTCCAGGGGATGTTAATCTCTCTCCTCAGTCCTCCTCAACTGTTGCTGAATGCTCTATTGAGGAAATGACGATGGGAGAGCTTTTTGTTCTCATGTTGTTACACAGTAAGTTTTATTGTGTGTCTTTGTGTGCATACATTCTGACATGCTTGTGTGTGTGTAACCCACTTCCTTAGTGTGTGCTGTGTTGCTCCCTGGCTCAGCCTCAAGCCGACCTCCAGTATGCCCATCACAGCATTGGAGATGAACTGCTCCCTGGAGTTGACCTTTTCTCTGAACCACATAGGGTTCACCTTGGCACCACTGTAACTAGTCTTAAGTTTATCTGCTACTGGCTTTTCACCACAGGCTACTACATAACGGTAAACACATAAACATTGTCTATCAGTCCTCATTTTGAGCTGCAGTATTAACTGACTTAGTGTTAAATCTTGTTTGTAATTTCAGGTACTGCCCATACTAGCCCTTTACCTACATTTTGTGGGGACTGTGTGCAGAGATGTGCAACGCACTGTTGAGGGCAAAATACTAAAGGTTAGCATATGTGTTGTCGTCTTTATATACTGTACGTACATGCAAAGGTTTTTCCTCTCATGGTTCTGGTGGAGTTTTTAGTCTGGGTTGATGTTTTCTGCAGATACGTGCCCTTACTGAACTGTGTCTGTTCACTGAAGCTGTAAAGGAATCAGTTCAGCTCACACATGGAACGGGGGTACTTCTGCCTTATGGACACTACATCGCCAAAGACAATCTGCAAGTATGAAGACACACATATGTTGTTCCCTCTTTGCCTTTTTCCCTCTTAGCCTATGCAAACAGGTAATGTTAAAGGTCCAACATTTAGGAGGATCTTTTGGCAGAAATGGAATATAGTATTTACTGATATGTTTTTATTAGTGAATATAGGAATCGTATTTTCACATGAGTCGTTTGCCTGGCACACTTTTGGACAACATTAGTGGGTAACAAACTGTAAAGTATTTTTTGGCAAAATATTTAATGTCATGCTGCCTGTCCACAGTATTGAAAGCATTATTATGTTGTTTGTTTATACATGTCATAATTTATTGAATAGATAATAATAATAATAATAATAATAATAATAATAATAATAAAAAATATATAAATAATAAATTGTGCTTATTATGCAGCCTGTGAAGACGTTCTACAGCAACAAGTCTCTCCTGGACAATGCTAAGGTACTTTCTGTATAGGATTTCTTTAGATTTCTGAAGATCTGTCACATAAATCAGTCTTAAAAGAAATAACCATACTGACACAGGTTGTATGGTGCAGGTTACATTTTTCTTTGTATTCTTAGCATAGCAGCCAACCGCCTGCCATTAAGCCTTTCTGATGCATTTGAAAATATCAGTCCGATTCACTCTCATATACACTCATATGAATGTGCTGACACAAATATTCACACACAAATACACAGAATATTTTTCAAAAACATTCTTACTAAACTTGTTAATTTGGTTTCTTGTGGGTCTAATATGTGTATGTGGTGCTTGTGGTTAGGCTTTGGAAGAACTTGTGAACTGTGACTTTGCTCAAGAGGTTTGCAAGCTATATGGATCCACACTGTGCCTCCGATTCAACCTTGCTCGTATTCAACTAGTCCTGGCACTCAGTAACACCGTAGATGGCCCTCCTGTGCCAGGTCAGCACTTACTTCTCTTCTCTTTGTTATTTGGTTGGTATATTGTTTGAATTATGTGACATCTCTCATTGGAGTGTATTAAACCAGATACGTTTAATTGTCGTATGTTAAAGAACATACATAGGGGACATAATATTAAATTGACTTAGGAACATAGGATTATGCCCTTTTTGTGTTCTCCATTTCTCCAGATATCAGGTATCCAAGAAGTCTTTGTGTCTTCTTGAGATGAACATGCCATGTTACATTGAATAGAACCAATTTATCTTGGTTATGGTTATTTAGTGTGTCAAATAGTTAAAGGGTCATTTGACAATTTTTGGATACAAGTAACCACCTTTACTCTTACACGGCAAGATTCTGTCCCTGCATCACAAGAATGCTTCTGCATATACACAGGCCAGAAAGACTCTCCGAAGACTGAACCGTTTCATTATATTCATTCATTTTTTGTTTCCTTCAAAACAAACAACTTACTGTTACTGTGGATCAAGTTTCTTTTCATGCACTAAATGAGGATGTCTTCCAGATTCTCTTGAAGGAGAAGTATCTACCAGCATAAGAAGTTGTTCAGTAAACTCAGAACACCATCAACAGGACAGACTGGACAGCTCCTGTCTAATCACAGAAAAGCCAAAAGTCCTGACTCTTGATACAGAGAAAGAAAAGCTCACTCCGGAGAGGATTAAGGTCAGACTTTCTGGGGATTTCTCAGTAGACCTACACTACATGGGTTTGCCACCCACTGTAATTTCTACATTCAACTGTTGTATTCTTGTGTCAACTTGTCCATATATGTTATCTCCTCTGTTGTAGTTTCTTTTGCTAGAAGGAGCATCCTCCTTGTTGCATGCCACTTTGCAGCATACTGAGGTATGTAGTGAAATTGAGAACCTGGAACTGGCAATAGAATCCAATCTACTGAAGGCCAATCTGTACCTGCAGCAAGGACATGCCTCACTTAGGTATGGTGACCTTATGCATGTGTACTATGTGTGTGTTTACATGCTTATCTGTATTTCCTGACTATCCTGACCATTTTACTGTAACATCCTCCTGCAGTTCTGAGATGGCAGTTTCTTCCTTGGTGCTGCTGCAGACGTCTCCTTTAATCATGAGAGGACCCATACAAAGCTCTAAGAAACCGGAATCTGAGCTCCCAAATGCCAGGACTGAAAGTGAACAGGTAGGATGTTTATATAGGTTAGTTACAGAATCAGCTTTTTAATGTTTAAACAAAACTCAAGCATATAAAATCCCTGTATGTGTGCCATGTGGTAGAGGCCTGAATATACTCCCACGCTAGTTGGCTGAGCATCAGACTGGTTAGCAGGTCTGGAATCAGGCTGGCAACTACCAGGATAGATGCTAGCTTACTGGGATGGTAACTGGAGGCTAGTGGGCCCTAAGCTGGCTGACAGGGATGCAGACTGGGAATCTGGTTTGTTGCTAGCTGGAAGAGATGCAGATAGGAGGCTAGCCAGCAGGAAGCGATCAAATTGGAAGCTAGCTGGATGTACCCAAAGAGACAGGCAGGAGCACAAGAAACACTGGGGGAAATGCTGTACAGATGCTGTGATGTTGATGAGGTGCTATGGCCAGGTGGACATCGAAGATGGAATGGACTGTAACTGTACTATACTGTTTTTTTGTTAATGCAATACAGTAACTATGTTCATGTCATCTTTAGTTAGTAATTGTTTCTATATAAATAGCATGCTAAATAAAAAGGCCAAAATGTTTTTTATATGTAGCAAAGGGGAGTCTAACTTGCAGTAATCTATAAATAGAATTGTGGTTGAGTTGAGTGATTACACAGTTGCTGTATTTTGTTAAATCTGGTGACTGAAAGCATTTTTTGTGAATGAAATCAAACTTAATCAATGAAAAGTGGTTCATAGTTTAGTTTTCAGAAAGTAAACTCATTCAAACTTTGCACAAGACCATGCTATGGCATTAGAATAGTGATTTACTGTACATGGATTGTGACTGCATGTGTTATATCCTGTCTACAGGGTTCTAAAGGTTGCGGTGTGTCAAACCCCCTGCATAGAGACTGTTCCAGAGCAGTGGAGGCCAGTGAAAGAATTGGAGTTTATCTATGGATGCGTTGCCGACTAGCTCTGGTCCGCAGCCTGGCTACACACGTCCCTGGCGCCACTACCCTTTTCCCAGGTCTGTTCATATGTTGTGCTACTGCTTTTATCTGAGTGGTGAATTGTAGGCGACGAAAGTTTAACTTATATGACAAAAATTACAAATGTCAAAACAAATTCTCTCCTACTCTCCCCTCTCCTACGCAAACTACTACGACTGGCTGTGCACTTAAAAATGAGGAAGACTACATTACCTTGTTCCTTTGCATTATTTCACTTACTGTAACAAGGCTTGGTATATAAGTGCCAGAAGATTTCAGGATTACAAAATTGCAAAGTGAAATATTTTCAGCACTTTCAAATGGTTTGCCAATAAAATAAATGTTTAGTCTTCATGAGCTCCATAAAGGTTAGTGGTAGAATAAATGTTAGATATTAAATCTTTATGTGTTTGTATACTGTGTGTATGGGGTGATTGTATTTTTAAGGGAGGAACATTAATGAAGAGGCAGCTCGGATGTTCCAGGAGGGTCTTGATGAATGTGCACAATGGGGAGACCTCGATATTCAAGCCCTTTTGTTGGTCGAAGGTGCAGAATTCGAAGCACAGAGAGGAAAAACTGATGAAAGCATGGCAATGCTGCAGGTAGCAAAATACACACACACACACACACACACTTACCTAATGCCTCTTTAATGATCACCTTCAGTGACAAACTCACATGGCTGTGACTGAAACTGGAAGGTTCCAAATGCTTTTAGTCTTTAGAAAAGAAACACATAGATCATTAGCACCTACCATAATTAACAAGCTAAAGTGTTCCTCGAGCTAGCCAGGAGTCGAACCTAGAATCTTCTGATCCGTAGTCAGACGCGTTATCCATTGCGCCACTAGCCCTACACAGGGTGTCTCGGGACAGATCAGGCAGACGGATCAGTAGGAAGAAAGACTAAAAACAAGAGTTCTGCAGTTGGCTTTGGATGTTCTTATCACATGTTGAGCTGAAGTGGCTGGATGGAAGCTCTCTACTCCCTCCGTGAGTTTGCGCCCTTTGTGCTGGTTTGTGTTTACGTTCCACCGCAGGCCAACGTGCAGGAGGCACAATGCAAGCTCGACTAGCAGATATTGCGTGGGGAGAGGACAAACCCGGACTCGGGACAGCGCCAGCAGGGCGTCGACATGCCAAAAGGAGCCCTGAGCCAGTCCTCGTTAGTATAGTGGACAGTATCTCCGCCTGTCACGCGGAAGACCGGGGTTCGATTCCCCGACGGGGAGTTTCCTTTTAGATCACCTGCTGATCTTTCGCCGACGAAAAGAAATAAACACAGCTGCGGTAAGCGTGCGCTTGCGTCAAGCTGAGGCTAAGGTTACCTTAACTTTGCTCCTTTTTGCGTCTGTCTGATATTTTGACTGGGTACACTTTGATTTTGATACGGAGTAGAGTTTGATTTTGATACTGAGCACAGTTTGATATGTAAACGGAAGCAGAGGCAACGACACAAAAGTTGACCGGGTTCCAATTTCTGCCGTGACCCGGATTCGAACCGGGGTTGCTGCGGCCACAACGCAGAGTACTAACCTCTATACGATCACGGCTGTTTGGTTCACTTAGTGCCTCCTTGTTGGACTGAGTGTCTCCAGGTCGTGACAGCATAGTTTGAGCTTTGACTATCGAGGAACCACTCTTTTATCTGTAAGGGATTCCTAAATGATGTGTTACAAAAGCTAGTCAAGTTCCACAGAAGGTTCATCCATCCATCATTCTGTGTGTTTTCTTCAGCGACAAATTTCCAAAGAAAGATCATTAGCCCCTACCACTACAAACAAAAGAGCCTTCACTGGTTCTAGGTGCTTTTCGGACATGTACATGGCTGTGACTGAAACTGGGTGGTTCCAAATGCTTTTAGTACATGTTGAAAGGCCACTATCTTTCCAAAGACAGCTAATAAGCACCTAACACAACCAACAAAAGCGCCTTGATGAGGGCATTGACCGGGTGGTTCCAAATGCTTTTAGTACATGTTGAAAGGCTTTCCAAAGAAAGCTAATTAGCACCTACCACAACCAACAAAAGCCCCTGGATGAGGGTATTGACGGAATGTGAGTGCTTCCAAAGGCTTCTAGTACATATCGAAAGGGCCCTTGGTTAGGGTCAGCGTTTGAACCTTTACAGGTTTTCAGTACACGGTATGTGTGCGTGCGTAATTAACAAGCTAAAGTGTTCCTCGAGCTAGCCAGGAGTCGAACCTAGAATCTTCTGATCCGTAGTCAGACGCGTTATCCATTGCGCCACTAGCCCTACACAGGGTGTCTCTGGACAGATCAGGCAGACGGATCGGTAGGAAGAAAGACTAAAAACAAGAGTTCTGCAGTTGGCTTTGGATGTTCTTATCACATGTTGAGCTGAAGTGGCTGGATGGAAGCTCTCTACTCCCTCCGTGAGTTTGCGCCCTTTGTGCTGGTTTGTGTTTACGTTCCACCGCAGGCCAACGTGCAGGAGGCACAATGCAAGCTCGACTAGCAGATATTGCGTGGGGAGAGGACAAACCCGGACTCGGGACAGCGCCAGCAGGGCGTCGACATGCCAAAAGGATCCCTGAGCCAGTCCTCGTTAGTATAGTGGACAGTATCTCCGCCTGTCACGCGGAAGACCGGGGTTCGATTCCCCGACGGGGAGTTTCCTTTTAGATCACCTGCTGATCTTTCGCCGACGAAAAAGAAATAAACACAGCTGCGGTAAGCGTGCGCTTGCGTCAAGCTGAGGCTAAGGTTACCTTAACTTTGCTCCTTTTTGCGTCTGTCTGATATTTTGACTGGGTACACTTTGATTTTGATACGGAGTAGAGTTTGATTTTGATACTGAGCACAGTTTGATATGTAAACGGAAGCAGAGGCAACGACACAAAAGTTGACCGGGTTCCAATTTCTGCCGTGACCCGGATTCGAACCGGGGTTGCTGCGGCCACAACGCAGAGTACTAACCTCTATACGATCACGGCTGTTTGGTTCACTTAGTGCCTCCTTGTTGGACTGAGTGTCTCCAGGTGGTGACAGCATAGTTTGAGCTTTGACTATCGAGGAACCACTCTTTTATCTGTAAGGGATTCCTAAATGATGTGTTACAAAAGCTAGTCAAGTTCCACAGAAGGTTCATCCATCCATCATTCTGTGTGTTTTCTTCAGCGACAAATTTCCAAAGAAAGATCATTAGCCCCTACCACTACAAACAAAAGAGCCTTCACTGGTTCTAGGTGCTTTTCGGACATGTACATGGCTGTGACTGAAACTGGGTGGTTCCAAATGCTTTTAGTACATGTTGAAAGGCCACTATCTTTCCAAAGACAGCTAATAAGCACCTAACACAACCAACAAAAGCGCCTTGATGAGGGCATTGACCGGGTGGTTCCAAATGCTTTTAGTACATGTTGAAAGGCTTTCCAAAGAAAGCTAATTAGCACCTACCACAACCAACAAAAGCCCCTGGATGAGGGTATTGACGGAATGTGAGTGCTTCCAAAGGCTTCTAGTACATATCGAAAGGGCCCTTGGTTAGGGTCAGCGTTTGAACCTTTACAGGTTTTCAGTACACGGTATGTGTGCGTGCGTAATTAACAAGCTAAAGTGTTCCTCGAGCTAGCCAGGAGTCGAACCTAGAATCTTCTGATCCGTAGTCAGACGCGTTATCCATTGCGCCACTAGCCCTACACAGGGTGTCTCGGGACAGATCAGGCAGACGGATCGGTAGGAAGAAAGACTAAAAACAAGAGTTCTGCAGTTGGCTTTGGATGTTCTTATCACATGTTGAGCTGAAGTGGCTGGATGGAAGCTCTCTACTCCCTCCGTGAGTTTGCGCCCTTTGTGCTGGTTTGTGTTTACGTTCCACCGCAGGCCAACGTGCAGGAGGCACAATGCAAGCTCGACTAGCAGATATTGCGTGGGGAGAGGACAAACCCGGACTCGGGACAGCGCCAGCAGGGCGTCGACATGCCAAAAGGATCCCTGAGCCAGTCCTCGTTAGTATAGTGGACAGTATCTCCGCCTGTCACGCGGAAGACCGGGGTTCGATTCCCCGACGGGGAGTTTCCTTTTAGATCACCTGCTGATCTTTCGCCGACGAAAAAGAAATAAACACAGCTGCGGTAAGCGTGCGCTTGCGTCAAGCTGAGGCTAAGGTTACCTTAACTTTGCTCCTTTTTGCGTCTGTCTGATATTTTGACTGGGTACACTTTGATTTTGATACGGAGTAGAGTTTGATTTTGATACTGAGCACAGTTTGATATGTAAACGGAAGCAGAGGCAACGACACAAAAGTTGACCGGGTTCCAATTTCTGCCGTGACCCGGATTCGAACCGGGGTTGCTGCGGCCACAACGCAGAGTACTAACCTCTATACGATCACGGCTGTTTGGTTCACTTAGTGCCTCCTTGTTGGACTGAGTGTCTCCAGGTGGTGACAGCATAGTTTGAGCTTTGACTATCGAGGAACCACTCTTTTATCTGTAAGGGATTCCTAAATGATGTGTTACAAAAGCTAGTCAAGTTCCACAGAAGGTTCATCCATCCATCATTCTGTGTGTTTTCTTCAGCGACAAATTTCCAAAGAAAGATCATTAGCCCCTACCACTACAAACAAAAGAGCCTTCACTGGTTCTAGGTGCTTTTCGGACATGTACATGGCTGTGACTGAAACTGGGTGGTTCCAAATGCTTTTAGTACATGTTGAAAGGCCACTATCTTTCCAAAGACAGCTAATAAGCACCTAACACAACCAACAAAAGCGCCTTGATGAGGGCATTGACCGGGTGGTTCCAAATGCTTTTAGTACATGTTGAAAGGCTTTCCAAAGAAAGCTAATTAGCACCTACCACAACCAACAAAAGCCCCTGGATGAGGGTATTGACGGAATGTGAGTGCTTCCAAAGGCTTCTAGTACATATCGAAAGGGCCCTTGGTTAGGGTCAGCGTTTGAACCTTTACAGGTTTTCAGTACACGGTATGTGTGCGTGCGTAATTAACAAGCTAAAGTGTTCCTCGAGCTAGCCAGGAGTCGAACCTAGAATCTTCTGATCCGTAGTCAGACGCGTTATCCATTGCGCCACTAGCCCTACACAGGGTGTCTCTGGACAGATCAGGCAGACGGATCGGTAGGAAGAAAGACTAAAAACAAGAGTTCTGCAGTTGGCTTTGGATGTTCTTATCACATGTTGAGCTGAAGTGGCTGGATGGAAGCTCTCTACTCCCTCCGTGAGTTTGCGCCCTTTGTGCTGGTTTGTGTTTACGTTCCACCGCAGGCCAACGTGCAGGAGGCACAATGCAAGCTCGACTAGCAGATATTGCGCGGGGAGAGGACAAACCCGGACTCGGGACAGCGCCAGCAGGGCGTCGACATGCCAAAAGGAGCCCTGAGCCAGTCCTCGTTAGTATAGTGGACAGTATCTCCGCCTGTCACGCGGAAGACCGGGGTTCGATTCCCCCGACGGGGAGTTTCCTTTTAGATCACCTGCTGATCTTTCGCCGACGAAAAAGAAATAAACACAGCTGCGGTAAGCGTGCGCTTGCGTCAAGCTGAGGCTAAGGTTACCTTAACTTTGCTCCTTTTTGCGTCTGTCTGATATTTTGACTGGGTACACTTTGATTTTGATACGGAGTAGAGTTTGATTTTGATACTGAGCACAGTTTGATATGTAAACGGAAGCAGAGGCAACGACACAAAAGTTGACCGGGTTCCAATTTCTGCCGTGACCCGGATTCGAACCTGGGTTGCTGCGGCCACAACGCAGAGTACTAACCTCTATACGATCACGGCTGTTTGGTTCACTTAGTGCCTCCTTGTTGGACTGAGTGTCTCCAGGTCGTGACAGCATAGTTTGAGCTTTGACTATCGAGGAACCACTCTTTTATCTGTAAGGGATTCCTAAATGATGTGTTACAAAAGCTAGTCAAGTTCCACAGAAGGTTCATCCATCCATCATTCTGTGTGTTTTCTTCAGCGACAAATTTCCAAAGAAAGATCATTAGCCCCTACCACTACAAACAAAAGAGCCTTCACTGGTTCTAGGTGCTTTTCGGACATGTACATGGCTGTGACTGAAACTGGGTGGTTCCAAATGCTTTTAGTACATGTTGAAAGGCCACTATCTTTCCAAAGAAAGCTAATAAGCACCTAACACAACCAACAAAAGCGCCTTGATGAGGGCATTGACCGGGTGGTTCCAAATGCTTTTAGTACATGTTGAAAGGCTTTCCAAAGAAAGCTAATTAGCACCTACCACAACCAACAAAAGCCCCTGGATGAGGGTATTGACGGAATGTGAGTGCTTCCAAAGGCTTCTAGTACATATCGAAAGGGCCCTTGGTTAGGGTCAGCGTTTGAACCTTTACAGGTTTTCAGTACACGGTATGTGTGCGTGCGTAATTAACAAGCTAAAGTGTTCCTCGAGCTAGCCAGGAGTCGAACCTAGAATCTTCTGATCCGTAGTCAGACGCGTTATCCATTGCGCCACTAGCCCTACACAGGGTGTCTCGGGACAGATCAGGCAGACGGATCGGTAGGAAGAAAGACTAAAAACAAGAGTTCTGCAGTTGGCTTTGGATGTTCTTATCACATGTTGAGCTGAAGTGGCTGGATGGAAGCTCTCTACTCCCTCCGTGAGTTTGCGCCCTTTGTGCTGGTTTGTGTTTACGTTCCACCGCAGGCCAACGTGCAGGAGGCACAATGCAAGCTCGACTAGCAGATATTGCGTGGGGAGAGGACAAACCCGGACTCGGGACAGCGCCAGCAGGGCGTCGACATGCCAAAAGGAGCCCTGAGCCAGTCCTCGTTAGTATAGTGGACAGTATCTCCGCCTGTCACGCGGAAGACCGGGGTTCGATTCCCCGACGGGGAGTTTCCTTTTAGATCACCTGCTGATCTTTCGCCGACGAAAAAGAAATAAACACAGCTGCGGTAAGCGTGCGCTTACGTCAAGCTGAGGCTAAGGTTACCTTAACTTTGCTCCTTTTTGCGTCTGTCTGATATTTTGACTGGGTACACTTTGATTTTGATACGGTTTATACTGAGCACAGTTTGATGTGTAAACGGAAGCAGAGGCAACGACACAAAAGTTGACCGGGTTCCAATTTCTGCCGTGACCCTGATTCGAACCGGGGTTGCTGCGGCCACAACGCAGAGTACTAACCTCTATACGATCACGCCTGTTTGGTTCACTTAGTGCCTCCTTGTTGGACTGAGTGTCTCCAGGTCGTGACAGCATAGTTTGAGCTTTGACTATCGAGGAACCACTCTTTTATCTGTAAGGGATTCCTAAATGATGTGTTACAAAAGCTAGTCAAGTTCCACAGAAGGTTCATCCATCCATCATTCTGTGTGTTTTCTTCAGCGACAAATTTCCAAAGAAAGATCATTAGCCCCTACCACTACAAACAAAAGAGCCTTCACTGGTTCTAGGTGCTTTTTCGGACATGTACATGGCTGTGACTGAAACTGGGTGGTTCCAAATGCTTTTAGTACATGTTGAAAGGCCACTATCTTTCCAAAGAAAGCTAATAAGCACCTAACACAACCAACAAAAGCGCCTTGATGAGGGCATAGACCGGGTGGTTCCAAATGCTTTTAGTACATGTTGAAAGGCTTTCCAAAGAAAGCTAATTAGCACCTACCACAACCAACAAAAGCCCCTGGATGAGGGTATTGACGGAATGTGAGTGCTTCCAAAGGCTTCTAGTACATATCGAAAGGGCCCTTGGTTAGGGTCAGCGTTTGAACCTTTACAGGTTTTCAGTACACGGTATGTGTGCGTGCGTAATTAACAAGCTAAAGTGTTCCTCGAGCTAGCCAGGAGTCGAACCTAGAATCTTCTGATCCGTAGTCAGACGCTTTATCCATTGCGCCACTAGCCCTACACAGGGTGTCTCGGGACAGATCAGGCAGACGGATCGGTAGGAAGAAAGACTAAAAACAAGAGTTCTGCAGTTGGCTTTGGATGTTCTTATCACATGTTGAGCTGAAGTGGCTGGATGGAAGCTCTCTACTCCCTCCGTGAGTTTGCGCCCTTTGTGCTGGTTTGTGTTTACGTTCCACCGCAGGCCAACGTGCAGGAGGCACAATGCAAGCTCGACTAGCAGATATTGCGTGGGGAGAGGACAAACCCGGACTCGGGACAGCGCCAGCAGGGCGTCGACATGCCAAAAGGATCCCTGAGCCAGTCCTCGTTAGTATAGTGGACAGTATCTCCGCCTGTCACGCGGAAGACCGGGGTTCGATTCCCCCGACGGGGAGTTTCCTTTTAGATCACCTGCTGATCTTTCGCCGACGAAAAAGAAATAAACACAGCTGCGGTAAGCGTGCGCTTGCGTCAAGCTGAGGCTAAGGTTACCTTAACTTTGCTCCTTTTTGCGTCTGTCTGATATTTTGACTGGGTACACTTTGATTTTGATACGGAGTAGAGTTTGATTTTGATACTGAGCACAGTTTGATATGTAAACGGAAGCAGAGGCAACGACACAAAAGTTGACCGGGTTCCAATTTCTGCCGTGACCCGGATTCGAACCGGGGTTGCTGCGGCCACAACGCAGAGTACTAACCTCTATACGATCACGGCTGTTTGGTTCACTTAGTGCCTCCTTGTTGGACTGAGTGTCTCCAGGTGGTGACAGCATAGTTTGAGCTTTGACTATCGAGGAACCACTCTTTTATCTGTAAGGGATTCCTAAATGATGTGTTACAAAAGCTAGTCAAGTTCCACAGAAGGTTCATCCATCCATCATTCTGTGTGTTTTCTTCAGCGACAAATTTCCAAAGAAAGATCATTAGCCCCTACCACTACAAACAAAAGAGCCTTCACTGGTTCTAGGTGCTTTTCGGACATGTACATGGCTGTGACTGAAACTGGGTGGTTCCAAATGCTTTTAGTACATGTTGAAAGGCCACTATCTTTCCAAAGAAAGCTAATAAGCACCTAACACAACCAACAAAAGCGCCTTGATGAGGGCATTGACCGGGTGGTTCCAAATGCTTTTAGTACATGTTGAAAGGCTTTCCAAAGAAAGCTAATTAGCACCTACCACAACCAACAAAAGCCCCTGGATGAGGGTATTGACGGAATGTGAGTGCTTCCAAAGGCTTCTAGTACATATCGAAAGGGCCCTTGGTTAGGGTCAGCGTTTGAACCTTTACAGGTTTTCAGTACACGGTATGTGTGCGTGCGTAATTAACAAGCTAAAGTGTTCCTCGAGCTAGCCAGGAGTCGAACCTAGAACCGTCAGACGCGTTATCCATTGCGCCACTAGCCCTACACAGGGTGTCTCGGGACAGATCAGGCAGACGGATCGGTAGGAAGAAAGATTAAAAACAAGAGTTCTGCAGTTGGCTTCGGATTTTCTTGTCACATGTTGAGCTGAAGTTGCTGGATGGAAGCTCTCTACTCCCTCCGTGAGTTTGCGCCCTTTGTGCTGGTTTGTGTTTACATTCCACCGCAGGCCAACGTGCAGGAGGCACAATGCAAGCTCGACTAGCAGATATTGCGTGGGGAGAGGACAAACCCGGACTCGGGACAGCACCAGCAGGGCGTCGACATGCCAAAAGGAGCCCTGAGCCAGTCCTCGTTAGTATAGTGGACAGTATCTCCGCCTGTCACGCAGAAGACCGGGGTTCGATTCCCCGACGGGGAGTTTCCTTTTAGATCACCTGCTGATCTTTCGCCGACGAAAAAGAAATAAACACAGCTGCGGTAAGCGTGCGCTTGCGTCAAGCTGAGGCTAAGGTTACCTTAACTTTGCTCCTTTTTGCGTCTGTCTGATATTTTGACTGGGTACACTTTGATTTTGATACGGAGTAGAGTTTGATTTTGATGCTGAGCACAGTTTGATATGTAAACGGAAGCAGAGGCAACGACACAAAAGTTGACCGGGTTCCAATTTCTGCCGTGACCCGGATTCGAACCGGGGTTGCTGCGGCCACAACGCAGAGTACTAACCTCTATACGATCACGGCTGTTTGGTTCACTTAGTGCCTCCTTGTTGGACTGAGTGTCTCCAGGTCGTGACAGCATAGTTTGAGCTTTGACTATCGAGGAACCACTCTTTTATCTGTAAGGGATTCCTAAATGATGTGTTACAAAAGCTAGTCAAGTTCCACAGAAGGTTCATCCATCCATCATTCTGTGTGTTTTCTTCAGCGACAAATTTCCAAAGAAAGATCATTAGCCCCTACCACTACAAACAAAAGAGCCTTCACTGGTTCTAGGTGCTTTTCGGACATGTACATGGCTGTGACTGAAACTGGGTGGTTCCAAATGCTTTTAGTACATGTTGAAAGGCCACTATCTTTCCAAAGAAAGCTAATAAGCACCTAACACAACCAACAAAAGCGCCTTGATGAGGGCATTGACCGGGTGGTTCCAAATGCTTTTAGTACATGTTGAAAGGCTTTCCAAAGAAAGCTAATTAGCACCTACCACAACCAACAAAAGCCCCTGGATGAGGGTATTGACGGAATGTGAGTGCTTCCAAAGGCTTCTAGTACATATCGAAAGGGCCCTTGGTTAGGGTCAGCGTTTGAACCTTTACAGGTTTTCAGTACACGGTATGTGTGCGTGCGTAATTAACAAGCTAAGGTGTTCCTCGAGCTAGCCAGGAGTCGAACCTAGAATCTTCTGATCCGTAGTCAGACGCGTTATCCATTGGGCCACTAGCCCTACACAGGGTGTCTCGGGACAGATCAGGCAGACGGATCGGTAGGAAGAAAGACTAAAAACAAGAGTTCTGCAGTTGGCTTTGGATGTTCTTATCACATGTTGAGCTGAAGTGGCTGGATGGAAGCTCTCTACTCCCTCCGTGAGTTTGCGCCCTTTGTGCTGGTTTGTGTTTACGTTCCACCGCAGGCCAACGTGCAGGAGGCACAATGCAAGCTCGACTAGCAGATATTGCATGGGGAGAGGACAAACCCGGACTCGGGACAGCGCCAGCAGGGCGTCGACATGCCAAAAGGATCCCTGTGCCAGTCCTCGTTTGTATAGTGGACAGTATCTCCGCCTGTCACGCGGAAGACCGGGGTTCGATTCCCCGACGGGGAGTTTCCTTTTAGATCACCTGCTGATCTTTCGCCGACGAAAAAGAAATAAACACAGCTGCGGTAAGCGTGCGCTTGCGTCAAGCTGAGGCTAAGGTTACCTTAACTTTGCTCCTTTTTGCGTCTGTCTGATATTTTGACTGGGTACACTTTGATTTTGATACGGAGTAGAGTTTGATTTTGATACTGAGCACAGTTTGATATGTAAACGGAAGCAGAGGCAACGACACAAAAGTTGACCGGGTTCCAATTTCTGCCGTGACCCTGATTCGAACCGGGGTTGCTGCGGCCACAACGCAGAGTACTAACCTCTATACGATCACGGCTGTTTGGTTCACTTAGTGCCTCCTTGTTGGACTGAGTGTCTCCAGGTCGTGACAGCATAGTTTGAGCTTTGACTATCGAGGAACCACTCTTTTATCTGTAAGGGATTCCTAAATGATGTGTTACAAAAGCTAGTCAAGTTCCACAGAAGGTTCATCCATCCATCATTCTGTGTGTTTTCTTCAGCGACAAATTTCCAAAGAAAGATCATTAGCCCCTACCACTACAAACAAAAGAGCCTTCACTGGTTCTAGGTGCTTTTCGGACATGTACATGGCTGTGACTGAAACTGGGTGGTTCCAAATGCTTTTAGTACATGTTGAAAGGCCACTATCTTTCCAAAGAAAGCTAATAAGCACCTAACACAACCAACAAAAGCGCCTTGATGAGGGCATTGACCGGGTGGTTCCAAATGCTTTTAGTACATGTTGAAAGGCTTTCCAAAGAAAGCTAATTAGCACCTACCACAACCAACAAAAGCCCCTGGATGAGGGTATTGACGGAATGTGAGTGCTTCCAAAGGCTTCTAGTACATATCGAAAGGGCCCTTGGTTAGGGTCAGCGTTTGAACCTTTACAGGTTTTCAGTACACGGTATGTGTGCGTGCGTAATTAACAAGCTAAAGTGTTCCTCGAGCTAGCCAGGAGTCGAACCTAGAATCTTCTGATTCGTAGTCAGACGCGTTATCCATTGCGCCACTAGCCCTACACAGGGTGTCTCGGGACAGATCAGGCAGACGGATCGGTAGGAAGAAAGACTAAAAACAAGAGTTCTGCAGTTGGCTTTGGATGTTCTTATCACATGTTGAGCTGAAGTGGCTGGATGGAAGCTCTCTACTCCCTCCGTGAGTTTGCGCCCTTTGTGCTGGTTTGTGTTTACGTTCCACCGCAGGCCAACGTGCAGGAGGCACAATGCAAGCTCGACTAGCAGATATTGCGTGGGGAGAGGACAAACCCGGACTCGGGACAGCGCCAGCAGGGCGTCGACATGCCAAAAGGATCCCTGAGCCAGTCCTCGTTAGTATAGTGGACAGTATCTCCGCCTGTCACGCGGAAGACCGGGGTTCGATTCCCCGACGGGGAGTTTCCTTTTAGATCACCTGCTGATCTTTCGCCGACGAAAAAGAAATAAACACAGCTGCGGTAAGCGTGCGCTTGCGTCAAGCTGAGGCTAAGGTTACCTTAACTTTGCTCCTTTTTGCGTCTGTCTGATATTTTGACTGGGTACACTTTGATTTTGATACGGAGTAGAGTTTGATTTTGATACTGAGCACAGTTTGATATGTAAACGGAAGCAGAGGCAACGACACAAAAGTTGACCGGGTTCCAATTTCTGCCGTGACCCGGATTCGAACCGGGGTTGCTGCGGCCACAACGCAGAGTACTAACCTCTATACGATCACGGCTGTTTGGTTCACTTAGTGCCTCCTTGTTGGACTGAGTGTCTCCAGGTCGTGACAGCATAGTTTGAGCTTTGACTATCGAGGAACCACTCTTTTATCTGTAAGGGATTCCTAAATGATGTGTTACAAAAGCTAGTCAAGTTCCACAGAAGGTTCATCCATCCATCATTCTGTGTGTTTTCTTCAGCGACAAATTTCCAAAGAAAGATCATTAGCCCCTACCACTACAAACAAAAGAGCCTTCACTGGTTCTAGGTGCTTTTCGGACATGTACATGGCTGTGACTGAAACTGGGTGGTTCCAAATGCTTTTAGTACATGTTGAAAGGCCACTATCTTTCCAAAGACAGCTAATAAGCACCTAACACAACCAACAAAAGCGCCTTGATGAGGGCATTGACCGGGTGGTTCCAAATGCTTTTAGTACATGTTGAAAGGCTTTCCAAAAGAAAGCTAATTAGCACCTACCACAACCAACAAAAGCCCCTGGATGAGGGTATTGACGGAATGTGAGTGCTTCCAAAGGCTTCTAGTACATATCGAAAGGGCCCTTGGTTAGGGTCAGCGTTTGAACCTTTACAGGTTTTCAGTACACGGTATGTGTGCGTGCGTAATTAACAAGCTAAAGTGTTCCTCGAGCTAGCCAGGAGTCGAACCTAGAATCTTCTGATCCGTAGTCAGACGCGTTATCCATTGCGCCACTAGCCCTACACAGGGTGTCTCGGGACAGATCAGGCAGACGGATCGGTAGGAAGAAAGACTAAAAACAAGAGTTCTGCAGTTGGCTTTGGATGTTCTTATCACATGTTGAGCTGAAGTGGCTGGATGGAAGCTCTCTACTCCCTCCGTGAGTTTGCGCCCTTTGTGCTGGTTTGTGTTTACGTTCCACCGCAGGCCAACGTGCAGGAGGCACAATGCAAGCTCGACTAGCAGATATTGCGTGGGGAGAGGACAAACCCGGACTCGGGACAGCGCCAGCAGCGCGTCGACATGCCAAAAGGAGCCCTGAGCCAGTCCTCGTTAGTATAGTGGACAGTATCTCCGCCTGTCACGCGGAAGACCGGGGTTCGATTCCCCGACGGGGGAGTTTCCTTTTAGATCACCTGCTGATCTTTCGCCAACGAAAAAGAAATAAACACAGCTGCGGTAAGCGTGCGCTTGCGTCAAGCTGAGGCTAAGGTTACCTTAACTTTGCTCCTTTTTGCGTCTGTCTGATATTTTGACTGGGTACACTTTGATTTTGATACGGAGTAGAGTTTGATTTTGATACTGAGCACAGTTTGATATGTAAACGGAAGCAGAGGCAACGACACAAAAGTTGACCGGGTTCCAATTTCTGCCGTGACCCTGATTCGAACCGGGGTTGCTGCGGCCACAACGCAGAGTACTAACCTCTATACGATCACGGCTGTTTGGTTCACTTAGTGCCTCCTTGTTGGACTGAGTGTCTCCAGGTCGTGACAGCATAGTTTGAGCTTTGACTATCGAGGAACCACTCTTTTATCTGTAAGGGATTCCTAAATGATGTGTTACAAAAGCTAGTCAAGTTCCACAGAAGGTTCATCCATCCATCATTCTGTGTGTTTTCTTCAGCGACAAATTTCCAAAGAAAGATCATTAGCCCCCTACCACTACAAACAAAAGAGCCTTCACTGGTTCTAGGTGCTTTTCGGACATGTACATGGCTGTGACTGAAACTGGGTGGTTCCAAATGCTTTTAGTACATGTTGAAAGGCCACTATCTTTCCAAAGACAGCTAATAAGCACCTAACACAACCAACAAAAGCGCCTTGATGAGGGCATTGACCGGGTGGTTCCAAATGCTTTTAGTACATGTTGAAAGGCTTTCCAAAGAAAGCTAATTAGCACCTACCACAACCAACAAAAGCCCCTGGATGAGGGTATTGACGGAATGTGAGTGCTTCCAAAGGCTTCTAGTACATATCGAAAGGGCCCTTGGTTAGGGTCAGCGTTTGAACCTTTACAGGTTTTCAGTACACGGTATGTGTGCGTGCGTAATTAACAAGCTAAAGTGTTCCTCGAGCTAGCCAGGAGTCGAACCTAGAATCTTCTGATCCGTAGTCAGACGCGTTATCCATTGCGCCACTAGCCCTACACAGGGTGTCTCGGGACAGATCAGGCAGACGGATCGGTAGGAAGAAAGACTAAAAACAAGAGTTCTGCAGTTGGCTTTGGATGTTCTTATCACATGTTGAGCTGAAGTGGCTGGATGGAAGCTCTCTACTCCCTCCGTGAGTTTGCGCCCTTTGTGCTGGTTTGTGTTTACGTTCCACCGCAGGCCAACGTGCAGGAGGCACAATGCAAGCTCGACTAGCAGATATTGCGTGGGGAGAGGACAAACCCGGACTCGGGACAGCGCCAGCAGCGCGTCGACATGCCAAAAGGAGCCCTGAGCCAGTCCTCGTTAGTATAGTGGACAGTATCTCCGCCTGTCACGCGGAAGACCGGGGTTCGATTCCCCGACGGGGAGTTTCCTTTTAGATCACCTGCTGATCTTTCGCCGACGAAAAAGAAATAAACACAGCTGCGGTAAGCGTGCGCTTGCGTCAAGCTGAGGCTAAGGTTACCTTAACTTTGCTCCTTTTTGCGTCTGTCTGATATTTTGACTGGGTACACTTTGATTTTGATACGGAGTAGAGTTTGATTTTGATACTGAGCACAGTTTGATATGTAAACGGAAGCAGAGGCAACGACACAAAAGTTGACCGGGTTCCAATTTCTGCCGTGACCCGGATTCGAACCGGGGTTGCTGCGGCCACAACGCAGAGTACTAACCTCTATACGATCACGGCTGTTTGGTTCACTTAGTGCCTCCTTGTTGGACTGAGTGTCTCCAGGTCGTGACAGCATAGTTTGAGCTTTGACTATCGAGGAACCACTCTTTTATCTGTAAGGGATTCCTAAATGATGTGTTACAAAAGCTAGTCAAGTTCCACAGAAGGTTCATCCATCCATCATTCTGTGTGTTTTCTTCAGCGACAAATTTCCAAAGAAAGATCATTAGCCCCTACCACTACAAACAAAAGAGCCTTCACTGGTTCTAGGTGCTTTTCGGACATGTACATGGCTGTGACTGAAACTGGGTGGTTCCAAATGCTTTTAGTACATGTTGAAAGGCCACTATCTTTCCAAAGACAGCTAATAAGCACCTAACACAACCAACAAAAGCCCCTTGATGAGGGTATTGACGGAATGTGAGTGCTTCCAAAGGCTTCTAGTACATATCGAAAGGGCCCTTGGTTAGGGTCAGCGTTTGAACCTTTACAGGTTTTCAGTACACGGTATGTGTGCGTGCGTAATTAACAAGCTAAGGTGTTCCTCGAGCTAGCCAGGAGTCGAACCTAGAATCTTCTGATCCGTAGTCAGACGCGTTATCCATTGCGCCACTAGCCCTACACAGGGTGTCTCGGGACAGATCAGGCAGACGGATCGGTAGGAAGAAAGACTAAAAACAAGAGTTCTGCAGTTGGCTTTGGATGTTCTTATCACATGTTGAGCTGAAGTGGCTGGATGGAAGCTCTCTACTCCCTCCGTGAGTTTGCGCCCTTTGTGCTGGTTTGTGTTTACGTTCCACCGCAGGCCAACGTGCACGAGGCACAATGCAACCTCGACTAGCAGATATTGCGTGGGGAGAGGACAAACCCGGACTCGGGACAGCGCCAGCAGCGCGTCGACATGCCAAAAGGAGCCCTGAGCCAGTCCTCGTTAGTATAGTGGACAGTATCTCCGCCTGTCACGCGGAAGACCGGGGTTCGATTCCCCGACGGGGAGTTTCCTTTTAGATCACCTGCTGATCTTTCGCCGACGAAAAAGAAATAAACACAGCTGCGGTAAGCGTGCGCTTACGTCAAGCTGAGGCTAAGGTTACCTTAACTTTGCTCCTTTTTGCGTCTGTCTGATATTTTGACTAGGTACACTTTGATTTTGATACGGAGTAGAGTTTGATTTTGATACTGAGCACAGTTTGATATGTAAACGGAAGCAGAGGCAACGACACAAAAGTTGACCGGGTTCCAATTTCTGCCGTGACCCGGATTCGAACCGGGGTTGCTGCGGCCACAACGCAGAGTACTAACCTCTATACGATCACGGCTGTTTGATTCACTTAGTGCCTCCTTGTTGGACTGAGTGTCTCCAGGTCGTGACAGCATAGTTTGAGCTTTGACTATCGAGGAACCACTCTTTTATCTGTAAGGGATTCCTAAATGATGTGTTACAAAAGCTAGTCAAGTTCCACAGAAGGTTCATCCATCCATCATTCTGTGTGTTTTCTTCAGCGACAAATTTCCAAAGAAAGATCATTAGCCCCTACCACTACAAACAAAAGAGCCTTCACTGGTTCTAGGTGCTTTTCGGACATGTACATGGCTGTGACTGAAACTGGGTGGTTCCAAATGCTTTTAGTACATGTTGAAAGGCCACTATCTTTCCAAAGACAGCTAATAAGCACCTAACACAACCAACAAAAGCGCCTTGATGAGGGCATTGACCGGGTGGTTCCAAATGCTTTTAGTACATGTTGAAAGGCTTTCCAAAGAAAGCTAATTAGCACCTACCACAACCAACAAAAGCCCCTGGATGAGGGTATTGACGGAATGTGAGTGCTTCCAAAGGCTTCTAGTACATATCGAAAGGGCCCTTGGTTAGGGTCAGCGTTTGAACCTTTACAGGTTTTCAGTACACGGTATGTGTGCGTGCGTAATTAACAAGCTAAAGTGTTCCTCGAGCTAGCCAGGAGTCGAACCTAGAATCTTCTGATCCGTAGTCAGACGCGTTATCCATTGCGCCACTAGCCCTACACAGGGTGTCTCGGGACAGATCAGGCAGACGGATCGGTAGGAAGAAAGACTAAAAACAAGAGTTCTGCAGTTGGCTTTGGATGTTCTTATCACATGTTGAGCTGAAGTGGCTGGATGGAAGCTCTCTACTCCCTCCGTGAGTTTGCGCCCTTTGTGCTGGTTTGTGTTTACGTTCCACCGCAGGCCAACGTGCAGGAGGCACAATGCAAGCTCGACTAGCAGATATTGCGTGGGGAGAGGACAAACCCGGACTCGGGACAGCGCCAGCAGCGCGTCGACATGCCAAAAGGAGCCCTGAGCCAGTCCTCGTTAGTATAGTGGACAGTATCTCCGCCTGTCACGCGGAAGACCGGGGTTCGATTCCCCGACGGGGAGTTTCCTTTTAGATCACCTGCTGATCTTTCGCCGACGAAAAAGAAATAAACACAGCTGCGGTAAGCGTGCGCTTGCGTCAAGCTGAGGCTAAGGTTACCTTAACTTTGCTCCTTTTTGCGTCTGTCTGATATTTTGACAGGGTACACTTTGATTTTGATACGGAGTAGAGTTTGATTTTGATACTGAGCACAGTTTGATATGTAAACGGAAGCAGAGGCAACGACACAAAAGTTGACCGGGTTCCAATTTCTGCCGTGACCCGGATTCGAACCGGGGTTGCTGCGGCCACAACGCAGAGTACTAACCTCTATACGATCACGGCTGTTTGGTTCACTTAGTGCCTCCTTGTTGGACTGAGTGTCTCCAGGTCGTGACAGCATAGTTTGAGCTTTGACTATCGAGGAACCACTCTTTTATCTGTAAGGGATTCCTAAATGATGTGTTACAAAAGCTAGTCAAGTTCCACAGAAGGTTCATCCATCCATCATTCTGTGTGTTTTCTTCAGCGACAAATTTCCAAAGAAAGATCATTAGCCCCTACCACTACAAACAAAAGAGCCTTCACTGGTTCTAGGTGCTTTTCGGACATGTACATGGCTGTGACTGAAACTGGGTGGTTCCAAATGCTTTTAGTACATGTTGAAAGGCCACTATCTTTCCAAAGACAGCTAATAAGCACCTAACACAACCAACAAAAGCGCCTTGATGAGGGCATTGACCGGGTGGTTCCAAATGCTTTTAGTACATGTTGAAAGGCTTTCCAAAGAAAGCTAATTAGCACCTACCACAACCAACAAAAGCCCCTGGATGAGGGTATTGACGGAATGTGAGTGCTTCCAAAGGCTTCTAGTACATATCGAAAGGGCCCTTGGTTAGGGTCAGCGTTTGAACCTTTACAGGTTTTCAGTACACGGTATGTGTGCGTGCGTAATTAACAAGCTAAAGTGTTCCTCGAGCTAGCCAGGAGTCGAACCTAGAATCTTCTGATCCGTAGTCAGACGCGTTATCCATTGCGCCACTAGCCCTACACAGGGTGTCTCGGGACAGATCAGGCAGACGGATCGGTAGGAAGAAAGACTAAAAACAAGAGTTCTGCAGTTGGCTTTGGATGTTCTTATCACATGTTGAGCTGAAGTGGCTGGATGGAAGCTCTCTACTCCCTCCGTGAGTTTGCGCCCTTTGTGCTGGTTTGTGTTTACGTTCCACCGCAGGCCAACGTGCAGGAGGCACAATGCAAGCTCGACTAGCAGATATTGCGTGGGGAGAGGACAAACCCGGACTCGGGACAGCGCCAGCAGCGCGTCGACATGCCAAAAGGAGCCCTGAGCCAGTCCTCGTTAGTATAGTGGACAGTATCTCCGCCTGTCACGCGGAAGACCGGGGTTCGATTCCCCGACGGGGAGTTTCCTTTTAGATCACCTGCTGATCTTTCGCCGACGAAAAAGAAATAAACACAGCTGCGGTAAGCGTGCGCTTGCGTCAAGCTGAGGCTAAGGTTACCTTAACTTTGCTCCTTTTTTGCGTCTGTCTGATATTTTGACTGGGTACACTTTGATTTTGA